GAAATACATATTAAACATCCATGACTGGAGTACAAATGCTCGTATTCATCACACAAACATCTGCCCCGACCGGGATTTGAACCCGGGAACCTCTCGATTCGGCGACACCATGAAATCTGGCGTACAAACCACTCGGCCACGAAGTTTGTCAATTAAAGTAAATAGCATTGGTAAAGAGGGATAAAATTCAAAAGAAGAAAGATAGCGAAGGTAGGAAGACCCAGTAAATATCGCCAACATCAGATTTATTGACGACCTCCGTGGTCGAGTGGGTTCGAATCCCGGGTGGGGCAGATGTTTGTGTGATGAATACGAGCATTTGTACTCCAGTCATGGATGTTTTATATGCATTTCTATAAAGTGCAAACCTTTTGCAGTTCCATATTGGAGGAAGGATGTTATATATGTATACTTATATGTTTGTATGTATGTGTATGTTTAAAACACTATTTAATTTTGTTTTTCTCATTGTTTGACGTTTGCACTTTTCTCTGATTGTCTGCCGTTTTGTTGACTCCACGTTCTTCCCGGTTGACTGGTAGAAAATGCCAAGCTGGCATTAAGTCCGCCATATGCAAGGTAAAGGCATTAAAGATTAAATAAATTGTGTTATTGATGTAGATATGCAAATTTGACAAACTACTCTCTCAGCAGGGGCTTATATGAAGAAGCTACGTAAGGGTTCAAAATATAGAGATGTATTAGAAAATTTACGTACTAAATGAAAAAGTTTTAATAATGGAGTCGAGATAAGACCAGACGGAATGCAATCCAGAGTTCCAGACGACTTTATTGCTTTAAGAGCTTCAAGTGACGCGCTTAGGTCTTATGTCTCGGCGTCTCAGCTATTGTTGTTAATAATATATTACTATATTGGAGGATCAAATACAATATGTCTAAAAAAATATATTTAAAAAAAACTACTATATTTTGCTTAATGCAAACGGTAGCCAGTAAAAGCTTTCTTAAAAATAAAAAAAATATTTTTAGCCAAAAAAATATTCATTTCAAAAAAATGTAAACAATTTAACCTCATACTACTATATATTTTTTTGCCATCTACTATTTTTTTAGAGGTCTCAGCTTCGAAAATACTATATTTGATAAAAAAGGGTTGCCCTAGTCTCAGCCGATGAAATGGTTTTGGCTTAGGTACCATTAACTTATTTCAAATTACTTTGTAAACAGATGATGAATATTTGTGATCGTCCAAGAGAAAAGGGTCCAGATGTCGGCATTAAGTTACCGAGATATTCGCAGTTTAGTAAAGTTGGATTTAAAAAATGTATTTTGCGATTTTAACGGATCAATTCATACAGAAATAACTTTTATATAATGACAAAAAAAAATTGAAGGACTTAGATAAAGATTTCCACCACTCAAAATTCAATTCAATTCAAACCATTCATTTAAAATAATAGTTTTTATTAAGTAAAAAAATGTACAGAAACAAAATCGAATGATTGCTGTAACGCCGCCTTGTACCTATAAGTAGACCTACCATAATATTTTAATATGGTTTTATTTCTAACCGATCGAAGTTTTTAATAAAAAAAATATATACATATATAAATCTTTCATACAGAATAGTTTCAACATGAATAATAGCCGGCATTTCTCTGTTACACGGCGCAAATATACCCACGATATCGGCTAACCGATGAAGTAAGTATCCATCTTGATGTTTTATTGGTGGACAACGTCCGCTAATAAAACATCTCATCGGTAGTTCGTAACCACAATAAAGTAAAGAAGGTGCAGAGATAAAAGTGCATACAACAGCGCTTGTCAGAGCACTGGCAGCCTGACGTTTCTATGCAAGTATTCAAATAAATATATATATGCCCGCGTGGTGGGTCATGGCCCAATCTCCCTATTCCATCCATAGGGAAGGCCTGTGCCCCAGCAGTGGGGACATTAATAGGCTGATGATGATGATGATGATGATGATTCAAATAAGGCTGAATATTGTATTTATATAAACTCTTTAACCTTTGAATTGTCCCTCCTTCCATATTTTTTAATAAAATTTCTTTTTCTGAAAGAAATTAATTAAAAAGTGCGAATACCTTGTAGATAATTCAAATTACTGTAACGTGATACAGCGGTTGTGACGTAGAAATACATAACAACAAATTAACAAACAAGCGCCATGTTCACAGGATATATCAAAGTCAACGAGACCTATCTATTGCAAGTGCTTAGTGCGCGCGCACCGTTTTTTTTATTATTACGCAGGCAAAACCTCTATTTACTGACGTTGGCGCCCTTAAGGGGCACACCAACGGACGGACTTCACACCTAGCCTCTCGCAAGTCTCACGGGGTGTGACACAGAGAAGCCGTTAAGCAGTCCACGAGGCTTACGTCATAATATTCGCTAAAAAACCCTGCGAATACCCTCTACGTTGTTAATTGCGGAACCGCGAGATCCTCGTTGAGGGACTTCATCGTGTCTCCGCATCCAACAGCCTCCCGGCATTGTCAGTGCTCAACGGCAGGGACCAACCGGGGTATTTCGGGAGATCCCGCAGACGTGCGCAGGACTGCCCGCGCTAGGAGCTAAGTGTGCTGCCTATTGCCCACCGCACCGCTCCCCGTCCGCTGCGGAAAGGTTTCTTAGGTGTTTCCCTCGCAGGCCCTTCCGCGGAGTGCGCGCGCACATAACCTAGTCATCTGTTTGCTTGGTATGGACTGTGACGTGACACCTAGAGTTACAAAATAGCGAGCGTTTAAAAATCCCGTGCGAAGTGGCTATTTTTAAACCTTTTTTTGCGTACATTACACTATTTTTTAAACGTTGAATGTTTTTGTACTATATTAAGCGAATATAAACAAAAAAATAATCATGCATATTCCTTATTGACGACCTCCTTAACCGAGTGATTTGCCGTATTTCAAGGTGTGGCCTACTCAAGAGATCTAGGGTTTGAATCCCGGTGGGGGCAGATGTTTGTGTGATGAATACGAGCATTTGTACGCCAGTCATGGATGTTTAATATGTATTCCTACATAAATATACTTATATATGTATCAGTATATGTATTTTATCGTTACCCTAGTATCCCATTACACAAGCTTACAGTTCTTACTTTGGGGCTAGGCTAATTGGTGTGAGTGTTGAAAATATTTATTTATTTATTAGCGGCGACTGACAGGTCGCCAGTGCTCACTCACAAATGCGCACTGCGCGAAGCTTCGCCTCTGTGCCTTATTTACTCATGTGCCATAACGTCGGATAAGTCGAAAATGTTGGCACGCAGCCAAAAACATTGTTGTTACCATATCGAATAAGGAGACCGGTGGGTCATAATACTCTTTCCACTCATCAATGGAAATATCCACAAACACCAGGGGATCTAGTCTCTTTCTCCGAAACGAACTTACGATAACGAAGTTCAAACGAAATTTTATTTCGTCAATTCAAGGTTATATTTAATTTGAACGACATACTATCAAATTGAAGCTTTCTTTGAGTAGGTTTAGAAAATCTACACCTCAATCTATATTCCGACGACTAATACTATTATTATTAAAAACGAACCAGAAACATACTAAGAAAAGTGTGAAGTTTCAATCGAAATTTCGAATTTTTGTTGAATTAGAGTAGGCCTCCAGAATTACTGTAAAGATGATTGCAAACAAAATCTGGAGCCATGGAGCCTGTAGGATGTGAAACGTCTGAACAATGAACTTCGAATTACCCACATCGGTTCACTATAAATAAATATTTCTAACACTCACACCATTAGCCTAGCTCCAATGGGATACTAGTGTAACGTGTTCACGTCTGCGGGGTCCCCGCGATACCCCGAGAGACCATTGCCGTGGAGCCACGGCTAGGCCAGGAGGCTGCTAGGTGCGGAGACGCGGAAGAATCCCTAAACGGGGATCCCGCGGCTACACGCTAAGCAGCTTAGAGGGTACTCGCAGGGTTTTTTAGCGTATATTATGCCGTAAAGCGCCCGTAAGAGTTACGGGGTCCTGAGTGGGTAGCCATTGCTGGGGCTTGTAAGGCTTGCGGAAGCCAGGTGTGAGGTCCGTTCGGCGGTGTGCCTCTTAAAGGCGCCGTCGTCTGTAAACAGCATTTAATGCCTGCGTATAAAAAAAGGGTCACGGATAGAATACATACATAAATGCTCGTATTCATCATACAAACCTATGGGATTCGAACCCATTTTAATTTATTCCAATACTTTATAATCTGGCGCCCCGAGCCATTAACTATTTGCACTGCTCCCCTCCTCCTTACCCCCAGAATTAATAAATTAAATCAAGATAATTTTTATTGACCTGTTTAATTTGCTTTGATTTGATTTTATTTGTTATGGTTTGTTTGACCATGATGATATGATATAATTAGACTTATTTATTTTTTCATTTGATGGATTCCGTTAAAGGTTGGTCGTGATTTAATTTCATATGAATTAACCTACAACACTTTTACGCCATAAAATTAATATATATAAAATGGTGCCAATTCTGGCGTAATTCTCTAAACTTAACACTAAATTTAACATCAGTTTCTCCTTTTCATTCTGTATAGAGAATGACAAGGATATACTGCTGTCAAATTTAAGTTTAGGTTTAGAGAATCATGCTAGAATCGACACCATTGTTAAGCTCAAGTTAATTGCAACAGTTTGCGGTGTTAATTTGACATTGTGGGTTACCTACAATGCGAAGAGATGGCGCTGCCTTCTAGCTTAAAAAAGGCTAGAGAAAATTCGACACGGCTGTTAGGGCCGCGGTAGCATAATAGTCAGTGCATTCACCCGGATAGCAATGGTTTGAGCCCCGTCTGCAGCTTTTTTTACTATTTAAACTTTTTTTAGATTGTAAGATCTCATAAGAAATAATGTACAAGTGCAATATGAAATAAGTAAATAAATTTAATATGACTTCTGGCGCCCCTGGCAGCGTGAAGCCCCGGGCTAGGGCCCTCCTGGCCTTAGATACGCCCGTGACCACATGTATTATGTTTCCTTGACTCGCTGACAGACCGTTCGAATGGATGATCCTGACCACCATCTTCGCCAATTGCATAGCGCTGGCTGTCTACACACCCTACCCGGCCAGCGACTCTAACTACACCAACTCTGTGCTGGTAAGTTGAAGCTCCATTTTTTTTTGAAGTTATACTTCTTTAGGCGCGTTATGAAAAAATGATGAGAGTGAAATTTTAAGATGCGCGCGCATCACTGTAACACAAAAAAATGTGTTATAGTGTCGCTAAAGCGACCAACTTCATGCTGTTACTTTTGTGTTTACCGCACATTAAGAAAATCTACCAACAAAATAGAAATAGAATCTCTATTTAGTGGGTACTAACGACTGCATTGTGAAGGCCTATCAAAAGCATTTATTAATCTGGAACAACGGAACCAAAGCGCGATTCAGGAGACTACAGCGCCATCTCTTGACCATTGGTGTAGTAGAACCAAAAACCTCATCTTTATTTTTTGTAATAAAGTAACAGTTATAGGTATTCATATTTATAATATCAAAAGTATTTATTAATCTGGAACAACGGAACCAAAGCGCGATTCAGGAGACTACAGCGCCATCTCTTGACCATTGGTGTAGTAGAACCAAAAACCACATCTTTATTTTTTGTAATAAAGTAACAGTTATAGGTATTCATATTTATAATATTTATCCACATGTTTCTAGTTTGTATATTCGGTATACGTGTTTGAGTTTCATACAAGTGCAAATCACATATGTTCTAATAAATTATATTCAGTAGCGATTTTAATTGAATATTTTAATTATTTATTTATTTTTTCAAATTAAAACTGAACTTTATTGGCTGTGTCTTTTTCCAGACTTTTTATTAATTTATTGTAATTAATTATTTGCATGCAATTAAAAACTAATTTTAAACGATGCCAAAGAAGGATAACTTCTCACGCGCCTACATAAGTACACGCACCCATTTTTTTTTTATGTGCAATAGTTATTTTCGACACACTTGCTCAAAGAATGCATTTACGGAGGTTGTATACATTGTTCGAAAGTTCAAAATTACAAGCCATCCAATGTAAAATGTTTTATAACACATTTGCTTGTAAAGCGTCTCTTATTGCACCAATTTCAATATCATAATCTATCGCATTACACACGCGTGCGGTAATATAAAGTAAAACGCACGGCTTATTATGTTCCGTCTAAAAACGAACGATGCTTTTTTAAATCTTAGCAAAGAGTTTTTATGTCAGAAAGGTAGCCAACATTTTCTTAATAAAATTAACTTTGGGAGACAAAATATAATGTATAAACATTTAATTCTTTAATTTGATTAATTTTGACAATAAATTACAACCATGTATCGGTAAAAAATTCACAAAAATAGTAATTTACTTTATTAGTAACACTGGCTGTTTTTTTTTTCTTTGCCTAAATAAATGCGCGTTGAAGCGCGCGCATCGCTAATCTTCTGACATAAAAACTCTTTGCTAAGATTTAAAAAAGTATCGTTCGTTTTCAGACGGAACATAATAAGCCGTGCGTTTTACTTTACATTACCGCACGCGTGAGTAATGTGATAGATTATGATATTGAAATTGGTTCAATAAGAGACGCTTTACGAGCAAATGTGTTACAAAATGTTTTACCGCACACTCCGTTGTATGGCTTGTAATTTTGAACTTTCAAACAATGTGTGCAACCTTCGTAAATGCATTTATGAGCAGATGTGTTGAAAAGGTTTTTTTAAGAATTATATTAATCCGCTATGTATTTACCTCTCTTAATTATTTCAAAATATTTTTGACTACTTTTTCGTGGTATTGTATTTCTGACGATGAAAAAGGTTCCAGGGCACCACGGAGTAGGGGATTGGGGTAAGCAACGGTGCGGCCGAGTGGTTTTGTACGCCGGGTTTCATGGCTGTCGCCGACTCTAGAGGTCCCGGGTTCGAATCCCGGTGGGGGCAGATGTTTGCGTGATGAATAATATGTATTTATGTAAATATACTTAAATATGTCATCATCATCATCACCAGCCTATTAATGTCCCCACTGCTGGGGCACAGGCCTTCCCTATGGATGGAATAGGGAGATTGGGCCATAACCCACCACGAGGGCCCAGTGCGGATTGGTGGGTGCTAACGACTGCAGATGCAGCCGGGACCAACGGCTTAACGTGCCTTCCGAAGCACGGAGGAGCTCGAGATAGTAATTTTTGGTCACCCATCCAATGACCGACCACTGCGAAAGTTGCTTAAGTTCAACGATAGCAGCTGAACACGCTAACCACTTGCGCCATCGAGCTCCTCTTATATATGTACGGTATATGTATTCTATCCGTTACCCTAGTATCCCATAATACAAGCCTTATAGTGCTTACTTTGGGGCAAGGCTAATTTGTGTGAGTGTAAAAAAAGGCCAAGCAGGAATTTTGTCCCTGCTTGGACTCCCCACTTAATTACACTTGGTCGCTAGCCCGTATTATTCGGGTGCATCAAAGACATTACTCGAATTCGGGCACCCAAAGCAATATTTACACTGGAATACGGGATGGAAGACGGTGTCTGTAACCAAAATGAATATTACCTGAATACGGGCGTACTCGACTCTGTTGATTTAGACTAAGTCGTTTACCCGAATTCAATTGTCACTCATATTCGGGCTAACGACCAAATGTAATAGCGCCATTATACATTAACAACATCTAAGCGAAGTAATAGTTCGAAGGCAATATGAAACCAAGTAAGTATGAAAAGATTCGGTAGCGTTTATTTTCGGTACGGTTTTGTTACTCTCTGTCTGTCTGTATAGAATAGAATAGAATATATTTTATTAACCCACACTTACAGATACAAATTCAAAAATCTCAGGACTAACCAGGACCCTGCCTCAGCATTAGCTGATGCGACATTGTGTCGCACTGTCGCACCAGCGCTGTTATTCTGGCAGGGCCTGTTTAGTGACACAAAAAAAGACATGTAATTTTTTTTATTACTCGAAAGGATCTATGGGCCTTGCACCCTTTGCTTTCAAGTAACAATAATCTCTGTACAATAGGGTATTTGACAAGTTTTAGAAATCGATCTCACGTTATTGACTAATGTTTATGGAATCCGTAAAAAGTGGATATTCATCATTCTGTTGTATATTTCAGTTAAAATAACCAAATCAAAAACTCCATTTTCAAGTTGCCGCGAAAACGTTTCTCTGACCAATATGGCGTCTTACTAGTGTGTGACGTCACACGACTGTTATTAAATCGTCAAACGATACAATGTATTGTCTTTAGTCGGAAGTTTACTTGCGAGTGACGTCATTTTAGGCTCCGCCAATCCCAAGGGTTTTGGGTTACGTGACAATAGATAAGAAAACTATTATCTTTTACGTGGGTTTTTAGTAAAATAATGTATATTTTTTTGTAAAAATAGTAAAAACTCCTGCCAATATTCATTCCAAACACAGATGCTAACAATTGGATCTTTATTTTTAATACTGTCAAATACCCTATTTATAGAGTTAAATAAAATATCAACAAGTGTTCTCTTTTACCCTGCAGGAAAAGATCGAGTACGTATTCCTGGTGATCTTCACCGGGGAGTGCGTGATGAAGATCATCGCATACGGGTTCATCATGCACACCGGCTCCTACCTGCGCAACGGGTGGAATCTGCTCGACTTCACCATCGTGGTTATAGGGTACGTTGCTATTGAAGAGAAACTTCTTTACGCACGCTTGACTTGGGGAGTAAGCTGACGAATGCGTTGCGCGTTACGAAAAGTGTGTTCGGGCGAGGCGAACGGCAGTCGAGTGGGGGATATAAGCAAGAGAACGCAGGGCGCGCGCACATTTTCTTTCTCACTTTCTCTTATAGCTGGTAAATGAAATATGTATATGTACATACATGTGTATATTGTACACATAATATACCCAATCTCCCTATTCCATCCATAGCGAAGGTCTGTGCCCCAGATTAACCCCCCCCACCCCCCCCCCCCACCCCCCCCCCCCCCCCCCCCCCCCCCGCTGATGTTATAACAGGGCCTGATAGTAATAAGAGACACATATACACATGCAGTGCGACAAGGATTAGTGATGAATGTGAATGACAGTTCAGGGAGGGCGCCACCGTCTACGTAAATGACATACAAAATATGACGTTTATAAAGAACGACGGCGGGAACTAAAGTGATGTCGACACGCTATACCAGGTGCAGGTACGTACCTAGCCTCATTTCCCCGCCCCCCACGGCAACGGCTGACTAGAGCCGAGGTTCGAGTCATAGAGACGCCCTCTAGTTGAGCCAACCCCCTCATGTTCCAGTAGTCTAGTGCCTCCAAACGGAGAGGAGACTCCCTCCGTGGGGAGATGCCATCCGCCTGGAATAACTCTAGAGGCACTCGCCAATTCCCGGCTTGAGGTCCCCTTAGAATCTTGCCTTCCTCAAAGCCGGTGACGCTGTAATACACACTCAAAAATAAAGTGATGATATTATTTTCCCAGCATGGTGAGCACCGTGCTGTCGAGCATTTTCAAGGACGCGTTTGACGTGAAGGCTTTGAGAGCTTTCAGGGTGCTCCGACCTCTGCGTCTCGTCTCCGGTGTTCCAAGTAAGTAATAACCTTTCGGGGTTTCACTTAAAAGTGGCCAAAAAATTCTTATCACCAGCTCCTCCGTGCTTCAGAAGGCACGTGGATTTAGGCGTCGATCCCGGCTGCATTTGTTCACTCACCTATCCGCACTGGGCCCGCGTGGAAGGTCATTGCCCCATCTCCCTATTCCATCCATAGGGAAGGCCAATGCCCCAGCAGTGGGAACATTAATAGGCTGATGATGATGATGACGATGATAGTCAAATCAGTTTTCTTTTTTACAATTTCATGTATTCTTAGAACAAGTGGCTTTTCACCTGGTGACTGGTAGCTTTAAGGGTGACCCGAAGAATTAAAGCAAGATTTTTGCTCTCCTTTCTGATATTTGTTTGACACGAAAAGTGCATACACTTGCGAATCTATTTTTTTTGATTTTGATCTATATCTATGCTTTTCACCTTTAAATATAACTCGTTCTCCATACAATAACATCATCATCATCACTCATCAACAGCCTATCTTAGTCCACTGCTGGACATAGGCCTCTCCAAATGCACGCCACTCAGATTGATCTTGGGCTACTCGCATCCAGCTCCTGCCAGCCACGTTGCGCAAATCGTCCCACCATCGTGCCTGAGGACGTCCTACACTACGTTTGCCTAGACGCGGTCTCCACTCCAAAACTCGTCTACCCCAACGGTTATCGGTTCTTCGGCAAATATGGCCAGCCCACTGCCACTTCAGCTTGCTAATCCGGTGGGCTATATCGATAACTCTGGTTCTCTGTCGGATTACCTCATTTCTGACGCGAACCTTCAGAGAAACGCCGAGCATTTGAGACATTGAACCTGTGGACTACAATAACATCGCGAACACTATTTTATTTTCGCGACAAGATAGCCTTTGTTAAAGATCTTATTAATCATCTCTTTTACTAAATTCTTTCACACTCATCTGGCCTAGCTCCTACTCTTTGAAAACAGCTGCTAAGAAAATTTTGGTTTTCATTTATTTTGGAGATGAGGTTCGACTCTGAAGAAGGACTTTACTTACATTGGACGTGGAAAGGACGGTCAAAACGCGCGCATTAAGTATACATCCAAGTATACGACAAGGATGTCTGCGCCGTAGCAATTTTACATACAATAACGTCTTCTGCGCAAGTTTATTTGACTGCGGTTTTGCACAGGAAGTTTACCGCGACCTATAGTAACTCTGCATGGGGAATTAACTTTTTCTTCGGGGCTCCTAACCTACGTTTTTCCATCGCCAGGTCTCCAGATTGTTTTGAACTCCATCCTGAAGGCGATGATCCCGTTGCTGCACATCGCGCTGTTGGTCATCTTCGTGATCATCATTTACGCCATCATCGGCCTGGAACTCTTCTCCGGCAAGATGCACAAGAGCTGCTACAACAAATACACCGGTACGTTAAAATTGTCTCAGGAAACAACTACCTACCCACATTTTTTTCGTCTGTTTCTATAATCAACGTATATAAATAATTGTATCGCGATTGATATGGCTATAGCTTATGATTTCGTTTTGTTATTTCTGATCGCCGAAGGTTTTCAAATATCTCACGCTCATTTTTACCCGACTGCCAAAGAGGGAGGGTAATGTTGAGGGAGTGTATGTAAGTATGTATGTATGTCTGTTCCTTTGTGACCTCCTGTAGCCTAAACGGCTTGATGGATTTTGATGTATGAGGTATCGTTAGATTTGTCTTGATTACGGGAGTGTCATAGGATACATTTTATCCTAAAAGTCCCACGGGATAAAGACATAATAATATTTTTTCTAAATTTCCCTTTAAAAAAATATGTATGCGGTATCATTAGATTCATTTTTAGACTGTCTTAAGGTACTTAATAATTCCCGCGATATTAATTCCCTTACTGAAGTAACAAGACTACGGTATATACCGTCTTAAAATACTAACTAACTAAAAAGTGTGAAATAAAAAAGGTAAATTTAAAAAATCAAAAAACCCGACTGCTTAATTATACTTCAAATAAAAACTGAAAAGAAAAAAACAAGTCCAGTAGTCTATAATTCTGTTAATAAGGAACAAAGCTACTTTAACAGTCGGGACCCACTGTTGAAAAATATTATGTATTCTTGAATATCTAATGGGTCCCGACTGTTAAAGTAGCTTTGTTCCTTATTAACAGAATTATAGACTACTGGACTTGTTTTTTTCTTTTCAGTTTTTATTTGAAGTATAATTAAGCAGTCGGGTTTTTTGATTTTTTAAATTTACCTTTTTTAATATTGTTATTACCAATGCAAAAGAAAAAAGAGCGCGCGAAAAAGGTCCCGCTGTTGAAAAAATAAATGTTTAATAAATAAAAATAAACACAAAATATTATAATATTTCATACGTAATTACATGCTCCATAATTCAATTACAACATCTCTTGAGAAACTGGTTGAGAAATTGGCAAAACATCAAAGGTGATAGGAGGAATCCGTTTTTTATGTTACGCTGTAAATTTTCAGAACATCAGCAGTTTGAATGAAAAATGAAATGAAATAACTATTGAATGACATATATATACACATCTTACAGTATCTCTTATCTATTAGACAAGTCCGTCCGTCTGTCTGTGGTGCTGCTCAGCGGTCAAACCGTAAGAGATAGATAAAGAGAATATTTAAATTATAAGTTAAGAATAGTCTGATAAGACTACAGACCGGATTTGAGTAACGTAGCACTTCCGGTTTTCGAGAAATCAGGTTTTGGTGAACATTTGGTTCACTGGTTTGCTAGTTGCAATATAATGTGAAATGAAGTGTGAAAACAGTATTTCAATCAAGTGTTCATCCCACAAATAAACGCCCCTAAGTACTGGGTTTAGAACCCCTCCCTTTTCTGGCATCTGTCTGTGAAACATATAACTTCTGCCTCCAGTATTAATATAATATATAAAAAAAAATTGCAGATGAAATCATGGACACCCCCCACCCGTGCGATCTAGACAACGGGTTCAACTGCTCGTCCATAGGCGAGGATATGGAGTGCCGCGACGGTTGGATCGGGCCAAACTTCGGCATCACCAACTTCGACAACTTCGGCCTGTCCATGCTCACAGTCTTCCAATGCATCACCCTTGAGGGGTGGACTGATGTGATGTATCATGTGAGTAAGGATATTGAGCAATTTAACTAACTAAACTAAGATTTTAATGGGGTAAAGTTTACAGGAAGTAATTCCTGATACTATTGAACGAATTTTGCAATTACTTTAACTAAAAGTAAGCTTCATTATTCTTGGAGTAAAATAAAGCGCTTATTCCACCTGACTTAATTCAGACGTCCTAGTTAGGATCCTGAGAAAAAGGCTAATTAGAAGCTTCTGATTACACTTGACTAATTAAGTTAATGAATCAGTCAGTTACAAGCGCGCGGCGAATTCAGTCAGTAAATCTGTCTTCTCGTAGGCCTGGCCGTTGGCTCAATAAAAATAAAATAAAGTAACAAACGAAAAACATGGGTGAAAAAATATTAATATTAATAATGTTATTTTTATCGTTTTTATTTCAAAGATACGGCATATGTTTATACAATTCAATTATGTCACTCATAACTTCTTTTTCTTTTACCGCCTACATCGCACACTCGCGTAATTCGTAATCGTAGGCACAACACGTCCTCACGCAGTGACACCTGCGCCTGTGGTGCGACTGAAGTATCTAAACGCTATTCCACCTTCCTAAATCGCGCTCTAATTAGGATACTAAATGATTTAGTCAGTCAGAAGCCACACTTCTTCCGATTTAGGATGCTAATTAGGATCCTAACTTCCTAAATGCTATTTCACTTGACTGAATTAGTTACTGAAGAATTTAGAACGTCTGAATTTAGACATGTGCAATAAGCACTCAAATAGGTTTTCATCTCTAAGTCATAGTGCAAAGCAGGGCAAGTCGTCGGTCTATTACAAAATGAAAAATATACAGATGATTTTCTTATCGATCAACTAGTTACACGTCTGAGTGACCAAATATTAGACCAAAATTAGATTAGTAGATTAAGACCGCATCAAAGATTAGCCCCTCCAAATTCCAAATTGCATTTAGTACACATAGGACCTTTTGCTATGGCCGTGAAAGTGTACAATAAAATTCCCGAACATATAAAAAATGAAAAAAACGCAATCAAATTTAAAAAACTACTGAAATCATTTTTATCAAAGACCAGCTTTTATTAGATGCAAGAGTTTTTCAATTTTAAATAGTACCTAGTTAATTTAAGCAAGACCTTATTTATTTTTTATGTTTTTTAATGTTCCTACGTAATGTTATTTTATTTGAAATTATTATTATTGTTATTATTAAATGCTATTTGTCAGTGTTATTGATTATTAGTTAATAATTATGTTCAAGGTTATTTTAATTAAATTTAATTGAAGTAGATTATTATTATTATTTAATTAAGGACATTTTAAATTAAATTGCTATACCCTTTCAGGGTTCATGTGTCTGTATCTAATCTTTATGTAACATCTGTAATAACCACATGAGTGCAATAAATAAATATTAAAAAAATTAAGAGTTTGCCAATTCTAACGTAATTACGGTACATCATCATCATCGGTGAAACATCTACGTAATCTGAAACATCTATGTAAAACATCTATTGCGGCGCAAATACCTACTCAGGTATTTATGGCGCAATAGATGTTGCCGTACACATTGCCGTCTTTGACCTATTGGAGGCCCTGGGCATATTAGGATAATGGGGCCCCCATGACTTCCTTTTGGTGAAAATTATTATAAGTAAGAGGCGCGACTTGGTTCCACTCAACTTTATTTGGAGCTCTGTCCTTACAGTCTTGCTGAATTTACTTAGCTCACAGGAACTGGGGACTTTGTGTTTGATCTGAGTGCCCATTGGGAAAGACGGGTCTGGCCGTACATATGTATCTGCTATTTCAGATACAAGACGCAATGGGCAACAGCTGGGAGTGGATATATTTCGTGTCTATGGTGATCCTGGGAGCTTTTTTCGTCATGAACCTTATTCTCGGTGTGTTGTCTGGGTAAGTTTTTTTTGATTTAACTGTATCGTGCATCTATAAGCAAATGTCATTCTAGCAGAGTATACTCAAGTAACGACCGATAAAGCTCTAACCAAATCCAATAAAATCTTACAAAGTACTTCCTTCTTGAAAGTTACAGAAAAGCTTACAAGTTCTAATCAAGTCTTTCAAAGTTTTGTGTCACAGGACCTAAATTCTACAACCTACAAATATATATATTAGAATTTACATCATACAGTCAGCTTATAACTATGGGTCTCATACTAGGAGGTCCTGTATCGTGGACACCCAATTAATGTAAACAAAATTTCGAATAGATGAAATAATAGATTTGAATTAGGTACTATCACTTTTTTCTGCTAAACCCGCAAACGATGTATGTCACAACTTGTATTTTCGTCTTTGAACACGCTCTTTATAAGCGGTCAAATAAAAACACCCACTGAATTTAATATAAGACTTTGAAAAACTTTATTAATAGCTGCAAAATATTGAAATAATATATGCAGTAACAATTTTTCCAGCAGCCTCAATGGACAAGAAATCTGCAAAATTTTCCCACTAGGGGCGCTGTAATCACTTGACTCAAAACTTCTATCAAATACATACCTCTTAGCTTATATTCATTTTTAAGCTTTTTATTAAACAAATTACAAATGCCGCGTTGTGCAATTCCTGGTTGTTGTGCACGAAAACTGCACGCTTCCCGACTAAAATATAATTGTATATGTTGCTAAGAAGGGGGGGGGAGGGGGGTAACACTGGGCTGCTGTTTACACCATGGTATGTATCTGGGACAGGTAATTGCATCGGCATGTCTTCATTTTGATCAGAAAAAATTGCACCAAAATTAAAATTGCAGTCATATGCCTCAAGTCTGTAAAAAACCCAATGTTATACTTCCCATTTTAGCCAGAGGTAACCTAACTCTATGTGATGTCTGACTGACGTAAAAATAAGAAAGATTTGACTAATGAGCCCGCCAAAAGTTACTGAGATCCATGAACTATTAAAATAATCATGAAAAATGCATCTATGTACCGAGAATGAGTATTCTAGCATAATTATAGAAGGAATGCCTTTCTACTAGATCAGCTTTTCTGTCTTGCACAGATGCTCCTCTCCTTTTCAACTCTGTTTTCAACTATATTACAGACCATGTTGAATACACGTTTAAATATTTTACAACTGCAATATTCGGCTGTGGTTTGGGTCAAGCGTTTGCAGCGCCATCTATGTCGAGCTTTGCGTATACTTCTCCATTAGCGCGTCATCGCGTCTACCGTTTGAAAATCAAACTCGCGTAAAGAAAAAACAATTTATTAGAAAAAAAAAACACAAAAGAGGTCGGTCAGTCGCCTACTTCAGCCTATTCTGCGTTCAAATTCAGGAAATTGGTTGATACTTCGTGGGGTCTATACAGTGCTATTCCAACTTTATGGCGGCTGTGAAGATAGCAGGAAGCGCACTTCAGTTCAATGTCATCACTCTCATCCCTCGCGTACCGAAGTAACTCTACATTCCTTTTCTACGTCATAGCCTCTATAAAGTTTGTTAAAATCCCAGTAAAAATCTTGATGATCAGTTTAATCTTAACGAATTTGTTATTGGCAGTGAATTCTCCAAAGAGAGAGAAAAGGCGAAGAACCGCGGCGACTTCCAGAAGTTGCGCGAGAAGCAGCAGCTGGAGGAGGATCTGAAGGGTTACCTCGACTGGATCACGCAGGCCGAGTACCTGGAGCCGCTGCCCGACCAACGAGACGGGCCTGACCCGCGGGACTACGGGATTGGTGAGTTGTGTGGTTGTTAATACTGGACTTGGTATTTCAGGGAGACTAATGGCCCCAACTAACGTCACTAGGTTAGGGTTGCCAACTCTCGAAAGGACCAACCCGGGAGAATTGCATGTTTAAGAAATTAATATGGGGGAAGGGAAGGGGGGGTCGGACTGAAAGAAAATCAATCATTAATTTTTAAATTTATATTTATTTTGTTTAAAAATTGTGGACTCAGCAGCCATTCAGATGTCAGCAGCTAATATTTGTCGATTTTTCACCACAAAATCATAAAAGCTTTTACATGAAAAATCGAAGTTTGTTAATACTTGTAACTCTGCTTTTACTAAAGAAATACCCATTCTACTTTTTTTATTTTTCGCAAATTACTTATTAGGTACCTCCCGTTAGCGCAACACGCATTTTACTGAATGATTTATCTAATTAGACTGAGAACAAGAGACAGACGTGCGACATACTCGGCAAGCCGCTGGCGCTGGGTGAAGTAACGCATCGGGACGAACAGGTTTAGACCGGCAGCGGTGCGGCGCGAGATGTTGTGGCCGCACAGCGAGTAAATAGCGATATCTGCATTTAAGTTTTAGAAAAACCGGAGAAATTATTGCTCTCCGGGAGGTCGGGTGGTTAACTTTTATTACCGGAGTCTCCCGGGCAATCCGGGAGGGTAGGGAACCCTACACTAGGTACAAGGTTAGTCATTTGTGTAGACACGGATCTTCCGCTTTCGGTAGACGCAGGTTTGAATTACCCCTGAAAACTTGACCGATGGGCGCTTTTTCTAGGAAAAAATTCTTTACATTTAAACATCCAGATGTTATATTTTTTTAAGCCTTTAACTGGTAGATGTTAAAATCTAAAGAAAATCTAACTAGAAAATTACGGGTTCTAATCCCGTCTGCTGCCTGGTCCGCGTGGATTTTTTTCTAGTAAGATTTTCTTTGGATCTAAATAGCAGTTGCTTAATTTTTTTTTACGGTCAGTGGAAGTTAAAGTTAAAATTACTTAATTAAATTTGGAAACATTATAAAATTCTATTAATTTTTTCCCCTTCCTTTAAGGATCACCCCAAGGAGATGGAAGGTTGTGTATGAAACGAATGTCACGAACGACGAAGTCGCCGATATTGTTAGTTAAATGGATTTCCATCCGTTAAGGGCCTTATTCATTATCCATCTTGCTGGATCTAGCATGCGGGACAGCGTTATACACGTAAAAGATATGGAGATACAGGATCTCTTTTATTCTATAACACAAGCATTGCGGTGCTCACTTTCGGGACTAAGCTAATTGGTGTGTTAGAAAATTTTATTGCAATTATTGTTTTCTTTCTTATTACAGGTCCAACGCCGAACGAACACGATTCCACAGACCATTTAGGTATAGAAACTAATGAACAGCAGAAGGTATCCATCACGAAATTATGGAAGAAAGATTTTGATAAGGTTGGTATCTTCATTAAATTATTATAAGTTTGATAATAATCAATGTTGAAGCACAATATTTTTTTTATTTATGTTAAAATGTGGCAAGTAGTTAATCTTAGGGCGTGATATGGCTTGCCTGATAGTAAACGGGCGCCATTGTCTGTAGACGCTTGCGCTACGAGAGGATCACTCGCTCACGTTGTTGCCTATTTGCTTCCATTTGCTTCCTATTATGAGGCATTTTCGCCCTGAATATTTGAACAATAATCAGGACATCTAAGTTGACCAGTGATCAGTGCCGTCTTTGATCTATTGGAGGCCCTGGGCATATTAGGATAATGGGGCCCCTATAACCCCCGTTTGGTGATCTAACAGGAACTAGGGACTTTGTATTTGATCTGAAGTGAGCCCCTATCGATCGCGGGGCCCTGGGCACTTGCCCAAAGTGCCCACTGGGAAAGATGGGTCTGCCAGTGATTTAGACTTCATGATGGCTGGTCATTCGCCCGTAGTCTACTTTTTATTTGATATTTATAACAGCTATTAATATGCAAACAATTGCTTCCCATGCAGGTGAATCGTCGAATGAAGCGAGCTTGTCGGCGTGCAGTGAAGTCTCAGACTTTCTATTGGCTCATCATAGTGCTCGTATTCCTAAATACGGTCGTGTTAGCCAGCGAACACTACAGGTAACATTCCTTCTTCATCATCAGCCTTTTAATTTCCCCATTACTGGGCCACTATTCTTCCCTAAATAGGGAGTTAACCACGCGAGTTTATAATTGTTGCATGCTAACGACTGCAGATCCAGTAGGGACCAATAATTTAACGTGCCTTTCGAAACACGGAGGAGCGAGAGATAATACATTTGGTCATCCATCAGCTGACCAGCCATCGCGAATGTTGCTTATCGATGACTAAATACTTGCGCCATCAAACGCCTCAAAACCCCCTTAGGATCGAGTAGTCTAGAGGCTCCAGAAGGAGAGGAAACTCCCCCGAGGGTAGACGACATCCACCTGGAACAATTCTAGAGGCACTTGCCAATTCTCGGCTTGAGATCTCTTTCTGATCTCGCCTTCCCCAAACCCGGTTACGCTGTAAAGGTCACCAACAGCATACATTGTACATGTATCCTTGATCGAACCGTAACCAAATAAATTGGCATGAGTTCTATTTTCCCAGATAATTGTCGATATGTTGCAGACTTGTACGTAAATTGTGTATTATGTAGGTGTTGATAATATTATGTGACGACCTCCGTGGCCGAATGTTTTGAATGCCGGGTTTCAGCGTATCGCCTACTCGAGAGGTCCCGGGTTCGAATCCCGGTGGGGGCAGATGTTTATGTAATGAATACGAGCATTTGTAAGTCAAAGAGTTTAATATGTATTTCTATATATGTATCAGTATATATATTCTCTTCGTCCTAGTATCCCATAACACAAGCCTACAGTGCTTACTTTGGGGCTGGGCTAATTGGTGTGAGTGTAGGAATTATTTATTTATTTTATCTATTTCAGACAACCAGAGTGGCTGGACCTCTTCCAGGAGTACGGGAACGCGTTTTTCGTTGCATTATTTACGTTAGAAATGCTAGTGAAAATGTACAGTTTAGGATTACAAGTAAGTTCAACTCCTATGTTATTTTCGTGTTCCGTACATACACACATCAAAAGTGTCTAGGGATCAAGCATTTTTATGCGGATTTCTTGAGATTGAGATGTGGCTTTGTAATAAATTTATGATTTTATAAATTTATATGGATCCTTTTTGGTGCATTTCATAATTTGAATCAGGAACTGTGAATCAAATTCGAGTAAAAGATGAAAATCAGCTGTCAATATTTTCCCTATAAAAACATACAACGCATTGAAGACATTATTAGTGCTACTGTTTCCCTACTACTGATTAAAACCAACGTTATTATGGAGCGGCGACGTCATTTAAGCAGGGAAGAAATGCTCAGAGCCGTGGGAATGATAGAAGCTGGTTCCCGGCAACGTACTGTGGCTTTAGCTCTGAATACAAGTCAGAGTGTTATCAGTCGACTTTGGACACGATACCGAAGCACTGGTACCGTGGCTGAGCGCCATGGAGGACGGTATCGCTGCACCACACGGAAACAAGACCGATACATTCAAATCTTAACTCGAAGAGCTCCAACAATAACCGCCATGATGTTAGCCGTGAGGCTTCATCACTCTTCAGGGAACTTAATTAGCGACCAAACAGTCAGAAACCGCTTGCATGAAGTGAACCTTCATTCCCGAAGACCGCTACGGGTACCACCTATAGCAATGCACAATCGTAGGATTCGATATCAATGGGCTCTTGAACACAGAAATTGGGCAGAAGAACAATGGCGTTTCGTGTGCTTTTCTGATGAGTCTCGTTTTGGTATGAGACCGGATACAAGACGTATACGACACTGGAGAACCCCTGGACGCCAACAGCGATTAAAATCCTGCCAGGAAGTCCATCCTTATAGTGGTGGAACCATCATGGTATGGGCGGGTATTTGGATCGGCGGAAGAACTGAGTTGATTTGGATCAGAGGCAACCTCAACGCTCAAATTTATGCTGAGACGATTGTATCAGACGTCATCGTTCCTCTACAAGTGCAAGTCGGTCCCTTATTTCAGTTAATGCATGATAATGCACGACCGCACACCGCAAGAGTTGTAAGACAGACTCTCGCCGCAGCTAACATCAATGTCCTGCCCTGGCCTGCTCAGTCGCCAGACTTGAACCCGATTGAGCATGCATGGGATATGCTACAGAGAAGAGCTCTGCCGAATATGGAGGGTATCCAGTCGCAAGAAGACCTTTTTTTGTTGTTGCAACGAACATGGGCAGCCATTCCACAGCGTGATTTGGATGAACTCATTTTGAGTATGCCAAACCGATGTTCTTGTGTTGTTAGTGTTCGCGGTAGAAATACGGATTATTAATTGTTTAAGTTACCCAATAAAATTTTAGAGAAAACTGTTATTTCAGTCTTTTTTTCGAACTTTTGTGTTAGTGGTTCAAATGTCAAAAATCCCTTTATTAGGAAAATGGCAAATTTCTTTATTAATGCAAAGGTGACTTGGTTTATCGTTACTGTGACAAACGAAAACACTTTATTTGATGAATCCTTAAAGAAAATTTTAATTAATATCAATCAGGAGAAAAGTTATTGCAAAAATATATGTTGATCCCTAGACACTTTTGATGTGTGTAGTTCCATTTCAGCAACTCTTTTTATTATTTCAGTTTTTCCATCTTTGTCTCAGTCTCCCTTACAAATAGTGTATCAAATTACTTTCCTTTCATCGCGGTTTTAAATTGTATCTTTCATCAAAAAACCTAATGCAATTAACTTTTTTTTTACTTTGCAAAACACCCTTATTCTCTTAATTGATCTTTGTAGGAGATGTTATGACGTTTCAAAACATAACCGCACTACAAATTCTTATCGTCAATAGCGTTCATCCAATTTTCTCTAATGTCTCAAAACATCCAAGCATGCTTCTTTCAATTTACAATAATTAATGTTCCAAACTTTCATGGTCATTGACATTGTAGTAATCTATGCTATTTACGAAATTGCTACCATGTACCTTGTTTTTAGCGAGTTTTTGATATTTCGGCACTGTTGCAAGCGCCATGACCACGGAGTAACTGAACAAGGTACACGGTACTACTGTACCCCTAGCACGAACCATAATCAAAATCGTATCGTTTGCGAGTCCTAAATGTCATTGTCAAATGTGTAGGTACAAATTTTTAGTTCTCGTTACGTACTTTGTGCCGCTGCTGTTCAAGTTTCCATACAAAATTTGACATTGACATTTCGGTTTGCAAACTATTCAATTTCGATAATGGTTCGTGCTAGGGGTACTGGTAAACGGTAGCAATTCCGTAAATTATTCATACAACAATATCAACTTAACTTTGAAAATATAGGTTCGTTTGTGGAAATTTTAGCACTACCAAACTCAGATGCAGCAAAGTCGATGTTTGATATGGTTTTCGCTAGTAAGAATAGCTAGCCCTCTACAAAGTTTTCAATTAAATTAGTTGTGTATGTTTTGGTTAGGGTATGATGAGGCTGGCATATTCGTAGAATGAAAGCCTCTAAATAAATAAAGAAAAAAAAACATTAATTAACAGGGCTACTTCGTGTCGCTGTTCAACCGTTTCGACTGCTTCGTGGTGGTAGGCTCCATCAGCGAGATGGTGCTCACCAAGACGGAGGTGATGCCGCCTCTGGGAATATCCGTGCTCAGATGCGTGCGGTTGCTTAGAGTATTCAAGGTCACTAGGTGAGTTGAATGATGCTTCTTCTTCTAGTTCCTCTCCGAAAGATAACGGTTGGCAGTTAGCTTTGCACACTTCTCTTTTTCTTTGGCTAGATGGAATAGTAAAGTGAAATTAGCGCAAGTCGCTGCAAAGTAAACGAAATATAGGGTGACGCAGACGGCGCGCGCGGGATGTCACTGGACTGAAACCTGCACATACAGTGTGACCAAGATCTTGAAGCACTTTTATGACATTGACAGGAGGGCGCTGCTGGTGAATAAGTGCTGAAATGAGGATGAAAAAGTACGCAAAATCTCCTCTTTAAAGGGAACGTTATAATAGGGTATGTCACTCCACTAGAGAAAAAATCTATAAATGTATTATTGCGATAGTTTAGGCAAAAAGAAGTTAGAGAATTTTAGTTTGAGGTTGTTAAATAACAAAATGCATATTAAATTTCATTTCAAAGTTTTCCAAAAACTTTTTACTTGTTTTAAAACACCGCCACCTGATTACGTGACACCGCTAGTATATGCAAAGTGTCAGCTGTCAACCCAACACTTTTAATGTTTTTGTAACCAAAGTAACGCATTTATTTACAGTACTAATGACGTCGAGACTGCAGAGCAATATGGCGCCCACTGCGTACAGCGTTTTCGTTTAACTACGCGCGAAAATTGAAAATGTTAAATTGAAATTCTTTTTAAAGGCACTTAACGATAAAATAAAAAAAAATATGTTTCTTTTTAGAAGCATATTAGCGCTTCAGAATTTAATTGAGACTAAACACTTAAGTAATAAATATTCAGGGGAGTCGGAGTACATATTTAGGCACAATGAGGGTATTTAGAAAAATTTATGCCACCAGTTGGCGCAAATGTTACATGAGGTCTTTCGTGTGAAGTTTTTGGCGCGAATCAATCGAACGAGCATTAAATGGATCCATAGACTATGACGACATATATATGTGATTTCACGGATGAGTAGACCTTTCGTCTCAGTGCTGCCACCTGGCGTCATTCCAGAAAACCCTCAGTCCACCGTTCTTTACAGATACTGGCGCTCCCTCTCGAACCTGGTAGCGTCGCTTTTGAACTCAATCCAGTCGATCGCGTCGCTGCTGCTACTGCTGTTCCTTTTCATCATGATTTTCGCCCTGCTCGGCATGCAGGTCTTCGGTGGAAAGTTCAACTACGATCCCGTGGAAGAGAAGGATCGCCACAACTTCGACTGCTTCTGGCAAGCGCTGCTTACTGTCTTCCAGGTCTGTTGTATCATATTATATGATCCTAGCCGCTGCTGGTCATCTTCATCATAATATTCGCTAAGACCCTGTAGAGGAGATGGATCGCCACAACTTTGACTGCTTCTGGCAAGCGTTGTTACTGTCTTCCAGGTTTGTTGTAATTATTCATTATCATCATCACCTTATTAATGTCCCCAATGCATAGCCCTTCCTTAAGGCTGGAATAGGGAGAGTGGGCCGTGACCTTCCACGCCCGCCCAATGCGGATTAGTGAGTGCTAATGACTGCAATTGCAGCCGGGACCAACGGCTTAACGTGCCTATCGAAGCACGTAGATGATAGTTATTTGGTCACCAATCCAATGACGGGCCATTGGGAAAGTTGTTTAACTTCCACGATCGCAATCCGAACTCGCTAATCACCTGTGACATCGAGGTCTTTGAGCTGTAAATATTATCTATCATATAAAAAAATTAAGTACCCAGAAGGGTAGCGTCCGCCATCCTAGATAATAAATATGCGTTATTATCACTTTTTCAATTGCCATCAATAATATGGATCACCAAAAAATGTCCGTTAAGCCATTACCCACGGCTGCATTTACAGTTTTTAGAAATAGTTTGATGGGTAATAAACGATTGATCACCTGTCTAAACACAGACAGGATGTTGAAAAATAAATCGTTATATATACAGGGTGTTACAAAATACAAACAAAGCTTGAAGGGCGTTGAAGTACATCAAATAAGGAGTCTTCTCTAATTTTCTTAAAATATTTGCATGATGTTTTAACTTTTTATAAAAACAGTGAAGTTTAATGATGAATAAAAATATCGTTCATTTTAAGACACGTCACTAGTTTAAGGATCTTTAAAAATAACAGTTTTTAAAAAAAGTCAAAACTCCATGCAAATATTTTAAGAAAATTAGAGAAGACTCCTTATATGATGTACTTCAACACCCTTCAAGCTTTATTTGTATTTTTGTAACACCCTGTATAACTAAATAATGTTGAAATACTTATGTTTTATATTCATATTATGCGTTGCATTTTAAACTTTCAGACCCTTGTACCCAACTTGTACCCAAAATTCTTAAATCAAATTTAAAGAAGCCTTTGACTTTATACATAGAACAAAAATGTAATGATGTTGTAGATATGATTAAACCTTATGTTAGTGCATGTTAGCCCTATAAGTAAAAGGTGCTAATTACAGAATAAAATTAATCATAAACAGTTAATTTCAGAATTATGTTTCTTTCCTAGATATTGACGGGCGAGGATTGGAACGCAGTGATGTACGAGGGCATTAAGGCGTACGGCGGCGTCGGTTCCTTTGGCATCCTCGCCTGCATCTACTTCATCATACTGTTCATCTGTGGCAACTGTATCCTTTACTATGTCATCAAAAATTTCCAAATTACTAAAAAAATTAAATGAAAATTTTACTAGAAAACATTATTGACCTGAATTCCAGTCAAAAAAGTTATGAGAATAAAAATATATCAATATTTATATTCTCATAATTTTTTTGTTTATTTACAAAAGTCTATCAGTTATTACCTATAACTATACAAAGTCAATTTCTTAACTAAAAATCCAATTAGAAAACCGTTGTTAAAACAGTCGAAAATTATGAATAAATGGTCTACTGTATACTAAAACCTTCAATAAATCATTCTCAATTTTAATACGTGCCTTTATTGCGTAAAAGGAATTTGTTCCAGGCAACGAAAAATTATGATATAAGATTTCACATATTTTGTACAGTTCTCCACTGGTTCTCAGGGTTAAATGAAAAAAAAAGGTTCCAAATATATTGTTTTTTCTTTCACTTGAAACCGTGCAGATATTCTATTAAACGTCTTCTTGGCCATCGCTGTAGATAACTTGGCAGACGCAGAATCTCTGACAAACATAGAAAAGGAAGAAGGTGTAAGTGATTTAAAACATTTGCTAAAATATCAAGTAAAATTGATAAAAAATTACTAGATTATAATTACTTGGTGGAATAATATGTTGTTTTTAAGGCGGCTGAAGAAAAAGAAGGTGGAAGCGTCGTAGCAACAGAAGGAGGTCATGCTGACACTGATGACGAATACATCCATGACGATGATGTGTATACATCCGATAAGTAAGCCTACTTTACTAAAATTTCAATTGAACCTCTAAGTTTGGTTAATGTTATTGCTGTAACATTATTCAACCCACCTCGACGTTAAGTGTGAATGAAGTAGGTATAGTCTAACTAAAGTATAGTTAATATGGTAAACGTACGTTTTATTATATACTATGTTCACAGAAAAGAATTAGTACTGTCTTTATTCCGGCCAATGACAGCCACCTTTCTCGTGTGACGATTGTGTAAACAATTTTATGATAGATCAAGCATTCTACCAACTAAGTATAAGTACTTAGTTGGTAGAATGCTTGATCCTTGAACTATCCTCACATAAATTAATGACGTCATCGTCATGATAAATTTAATCATAGCGATGAAAATATGGCGTCTTCTCTCGTGCATATTTATGCATTAATTTAACACAATTATTAAAGAGGTCAAAATTTTTGCTAATACAAATTTTTCGATCTAGCTCCGAAAGAGAATACGAAGAAACTGGCTCTGAGGGCGAGCAGCAAGAAGACATGGAAGGAGACGTAGAAGCCGACATCGGTGAAGAAGAGAACGGCCCAGAGCGATTAGAAGAACACGACAGGGGTGAGGACGAAGAAATGATGGAATGTCATCAGAGGAACCATATAGGTATACGATTTGACAAATATGTTTTAACTATGAAAAATAACACTTTATTCAAAGATTTGTTGACTAAATAAAGAAACAAACAGTTTTCATTTTGTGATAATCGTAACAATATTTTATAAGGGGTCTCATTTAAAATGTACCTTTATTAGTTTTATGTACGTATACCAATATCTAAGTTAAGTTTTAAGTTAAATATGAATTGCACATGGAGGTAAAGAATGTAGCTAATCAAATAAACATAGTGAACACAGACATGGATGAAGAGCCGCGTCTGAAACGCAAACCGACCACTTCTTCGGCGCGGCCGCGACGACTCTCGGAGGTCGATATTCACGACACTAAGAAACCCATCCCTGATGCTTCGTCCTTCTTCATTTTTTCCAAAACAAACAGGTTAGGGAACTATCGACGGCATCGTTTGAGCTTACTGATTTGACTAGATGTATTATTTTTCTATATTAATTAATTTAGACTGTTCTTCATTGTATCTAAGTTTATTTTGAAATTCTATCAAAAACACACTTTTAAGTATCTATTTTACGCCTATTGTCTTTCTCGAATTTAATATTTTCAGATTTATGGAATTATTAATAATTATGATTTTTATCTCACGTATATACACGCTAATCACACTTTATTTATGTTTGCCACTTCTCTTTACAATATTCAGGTTTTTTCGATACGTATGTAATGTAGCTTAGGTAACGACTCGAGCTTAGGCAGGAGACTGGGCATGGATGCGGTAGATAAAACTAATCATAGTGTAGTTTTTAATACTTAATTAGAATTTAAAACCTGTGGTGGTGTTTTTATCTCACAAAGATGGAGGTCAGTCGGAAGAGGAGGGCACACTGGTAACAGCTCGGCCACGGCGCGTGTCCGAACTGAATATGCCAAATCAGACGCCGCCAATACCGAACGCTAGTAGTTTCTTCATATTCTCACCAACGAACAGGTGATTGGTGATCTCCGAACGGTACCCATGTCTCATTGTGCGAACCATTGGCATTATCAGCATCCAAGGTGCCTGCCATGCCATCTCATTCATTGGCTGACCCGTCAAGCGCATCGAAACATTTGACGTCGTCTAAAATCTGCACGAATGTCGTAACAATGTGACCCGAAACAGAATTCTCGACAATGAGAAAACTGGGTATCTTTACTTCCCCAAAATTAGTCGAATCGTTTGCTGATTAGATGATTCTTGATACCAAAGCTCCAGAGCATGGTCTTAGGATCTTTTAGAGAGATTTCGTTGTTAGTTTAGTCCTCCCTACTGATTCCTTAGGCGATTCAAGCATGTATGCATGACTTATATTATAATCAATATTTTTTATGTGTGCTTTATATGCATGCGCTTTCGTAATATATTATTAATATTTATATCCCGCTTTAGTTTAAGTGTGTGTAGTATTATTGTTTATATCACTAAGTTAATAAATTTTATCGTTTTTGTTCAACATAGATATATTTGTTTTGTAAAAACCCTTACAATAAAGAAAGCTGAAGATTTTTATGGAACAGCATGTAAGTGTCTATTTATCAGAAAGATCAGAAAATACGAATCAATTTGGACTTGTTTATTTCAATATCTGAATGTTGTTGTTAATACATTATTACCACAAAATAAGGAAAAAATCTCAAAATTTGGTTATTTACAAAATTTTGCGTTTCCGCGTTAGGTTTCGAGTGTTCTGCTACAAGATGTCAGCTTCCTCCACCTTCGGGAATATTATTCTGGTCTGCATCATGCTCTCCTCAGCTATGTTGGCTGCTGAAGATCCACTCGATGCGGCCCAAAAGGGATTTCGAAATTGGGTATGACATTTAGCTTTTACCATTTTATAGAAAATATAACTAGAAAAAATTCCACGCGGACCAGGTGGCAGACAGGACCCGAACCCGCACCCTTTGCAATCCGGGTAGTATTTGCGTAAAAATGGTAATCCGCAAATTTACCTTTTTTTCGCAAATACTGTGTCACCTAAAAATCATCAAGCCATTCAGATTTTTGAACTATTTAATGTAAATATATAAAAGAAGAAACTGACTAACTGACTGACATATCAACGCACAGCCCAAACTACAGGGTCTAGAGAATCCAAATTTGGCACGTAGATTCGTTATGAGGTCCACGGGTGCACTAAGAAAGGATTTTATAAAATTCACAGCTAAGGAAGGATTTTTAGATTTCACATTCACAGATACAGCCAGGACCAAAGGCTAAGCGTGCCTTCTGCAGCACGGAGGAGCTCGAGATAATAAGTTTTTGGTCACCCATCCTATGACCGACCACTGCGAAGGTTGCTTAACTTCCATGATCGCAGGCCGAAAGCACTAACCACCTGCGCCATCGAGCTCCTCATAGCACATATCACCAAACTCTACAAAATTCAACTGATCTGCTCTGATTAAACTACGCTAGAAAGGGGGCTATTGCTACTTACGAAAACCATATCTAACATCGACTATGCTGCATCCGATGAGATAATATTTCCCCGAAACATTCCATATTGCCTAAGCTGAGAAGGTAGGCAAGACAGGTCGAGGTAGAGCATAGCGGATTTCCCGCTCGAATTGGAGCACCCGTCTGGGGAAGTAACCTCCCCCATATAGAAGGCCACAGTAAAAGAACACTCTTAGATTAAAACAAAAAGGGTAGATTCGGTACGCTCATACTTGCATCAAACAAAAACTGATCCCACGGCAGCGCGAACGGGACGGCGAGATCCGCGTCACTGCATTACCGACCCGAACGAAACAGCACGTTTAGTTTCAACGGCAGCGCGAACGAGACGGCGAGATCCGCGTCACTGCACTACCGACCAATCACGCGACCAGTACTCGACGTCACTACCGAATAAGATTCAAAACAAACAGCAATATTTATGAAAAAATATATTTTATAGTGCTTACTTAATACTTACGGGTTTTAATTATTTTATCATATAAGCACAAAATATTAGCAATATTTCTTTTTGGCGCTCACATGTACGTCGTTTGCATGTCAAGTTGTGACTAAAGCGATTAGGGTCGTGGACCACAATTCATGCGGATCACTTTTGTGAGGCTAGTGGCGTATCTACCCTTTTTGTTTTAATCTAAGAGAACACTACGTTTTGGTGGTGTTGTGTTTCTGTCTGTGTAAGTGAATTTCCAGGGCTCTATGGAGTAGGGCCTGGGTTCCGAACCTGGGGGTAATTTACCCCTCCGGGGGTAAATCAGCCATACATCGGGGGTAACAAAGAACCTAATTTTGTGGTAAAATCTAAATAATAAGAAAATACTATATAATAATACTACTAAATAGAGCATGCGGTCATTCTTGCTAGCGAGCCCGCGAGGTGCTGAGTGTGGGAAGCGGGGCGAGATTTTTTCCTGATAGTGACATTATTAGAGACGAAGATGTAGCGGCCAAATTGGAATTTCTTGGACTGATGATAACATTTTAAAGTCGGGGTAAAATATGTTTTCCTAATAGGTTACAGGGCCAATACTAGCAGTATTGGAAATGTTAGGAAACACTGGAGTAGGGGATGGGATAGGCAATGGTGCGAGAGATATTTTTGTATCGCAAACGTCTAAAGGCTATTGTGGGCGCTTATCACCACACGGGTCATAAGCTTGTCCCCTCCCTTTTCACATAAATAAGTAAAGCCGATATTTTTACATTGTGTACCATTTAAACCAGTTGCTGAGTCAGTTCGACGTGTTCTTCACGGGCATATTCACGTTGGAGCTGTTCCTGAAGCTGGTGACGTACGGCCTGATTCTACACCAGGGCTCCTTCCTGCGCTCCGCCTTCAACGTGCTGGACATGCTCGTCGTTTGTGTCTCGCTCATCTCCATGAGTTTTAAGTACGTAACCAGTACTTTCTACTTACAATACTCGTATATCGGGTTCTATTCAGTCATCATCATCAGCCTATTAATGTCCCCACTACTGAGCACAAGCCTTTCCTATGGATGGAATAGGGAGATTACGACATGACATACCACGCAGGCCCAGTGCGGATTGATGAGTGCTAACGACTGCAGATGCAGCCGGGACCAACAGCTCAACGTGCCTTCCGAAGCACGGAGGAGCTCGAGATAGTGAATTTTTGGTCACCAATGACCCACTACTGCGAAAGTTGCTTAACTTCATCGATCGCAGCCGAATGCGCAAACTATTTGCGCCTTCGAGCTCCTCACATAATTTAGAGTCCGATTCTGACATTGAACTCAAAACCTAAATATAAACATAACATTAACAGCGAGCTCTCCTTTTGTTTCTTCGTTCTGTATAGCATGACAAGGATATGCTGTAAAAATTAACTATTTACTAGGTTCGGAGAAACATGCCAGAATCGTTTAAGTAAATTCAAATCTACTTTACAGCAAAAAAGGCTTTTAAAAATAGTCGTTGAATCTTCTTATTGCTGGAGGAGCACGGTTATTACTTTATGGAAGAAATAATAGGAAGAACGAACCCTAATGCTAATTAGACGCAACCAAGACCAAACGCCTATCCAAAGGATGGAGGATTTTGAACATATATTATACATGTTCTGTTATTTTTATCTATCCGATGACCATCCATAATATACCCTGATCACAGCGCCTTTCCTCGAGAACTATTTTTATAAAAGGGGAAAAACAGATAAAGTTAAATCTGTTTTTTTTATTATAGGTCTGGTAGTATATCAGTGGTGAAAATATTGCGAGTATTCAGGGTGCTGAGGCCTCTAAGGGCCATCAATAGGGCCAAAGGCCTTAAGGTTAGTACTTTTGATTCAAATATATTTACTTTCAACTAAATTTTATTGTCACTTACCGTTCAAGCAATTACAATAATTATATTCTTATTTTAGTAAAGTGAGAAGCTATTAGTTAATGTTAATACATAATAAAAGATTTTACAATTTCCATGATTATAGCACGTTGTTCAGTGTGTGATCGTTGCAATCAAAACGATCGGCAACATTTTGTTGGTCACGTCATTACTACAATTCATGTTCGCCGTTATGGGAGTGCAAATGTTCAAGGTAGGGGGCACCTTCTAGTAAATCCGAAGCTATATCACCAGAATCTTCACAAATAACTTCTCCTTGTTACTCTCTGATATCTTCACGGGTGAATACACTGTTTGGAGTGAATACACATAATGTACCTTCAATGTCCATCTTCACAATGGATCCTACTTGAATACATATCTTTATTTCCGATTACACCTTTGGGTATTTTATTTTATTTCTTTTCTGTACTCTATCTTCTTTTTTATTCTTTTGCTCATTTCTCATGATTTCACTACCATATTTCAGACCTGGTGGTTTGTATAGGATTTAAATAAATGTCGTGTTCATTGTTATAATTTTAAAAGTACCTATAGAACCCTGCTTGTTTACGAATACGTGTCGATAAATGGGTACAACTAGTTCCGTGATACATGTTAGAAACTATTTATAATAGAAGCAATTTAGAGTAATTTACAAAATCCTGAGAAATTCAGCATGTTATAAATGGTTGTAGTCGTAACGTAAATAAAACAAAATACCCCTTAGAGACAATGACTTGAAGCAGAATCATATTTTTTGTGTCGTCCATTTCGACCAGCATGTAATTTAACTTCATCAACCCAAAGGTGTAGCCTTACCATGATTAAACCATAGCATTATTAAAAAAAGTAACTTCCCCTACCTTGGCGTTTAAATATTCCCACAGTATATAGGTTATCTAACAGGTTACATTTGCCCCCGAGATGTGATTAATATAGAAGTACCCTTTTTCCCTTATGTAAAAAAGTCCCATGTGATTAAAATGATTTGCTTGTCCCCTTATGTTCGGCTGCTGCGTTGTCCCGGGCAAATACGGACTGTCCTTACATCCTGGTAACGTATGCCCTGGCCACTAACCTCCTCACTGTTGTCTGTAGTATGTGGTGAAATGTGTGATAGTAGCAATTAAGACAATAGGAAATATAATGCTAGTTACGTATTTATTACAATTTATGTTCGCGGTCGTCGGTGTACAGTTATTTAAGGTGAGTTATTTGATGTTGTACGAGATTTTAGTGAGGTTTTCTAATTAATTGATAGAAATAAAATATATTGAAAATAAAGTTTCCAATATTTGGTGTAAAAATATGAATAAGGAAAATCTTTTGTTACCATAAGTTCTATTAATTGAATTTCAAGTGATAAATAAAAATAATGTACTCAGTATCTTTGAAATGATAAAGCAACAGTAGAACTTCGGAATCTAACTTCATGCAGTAAAGGACAAAACCGAATTAAAAGATAATTTAGAAGATTTCACCTCGTAGTGCATGATAACCTATTTGTATCATTTACACTGGTCAACAAAAAAAAATTGCCATTGTTCCCAATTCGGTTCTTTCGTACCTTGGCATGAGAATATTCAAAATACGTACGAGTATATCAAAAAAAATTAGGTTTCCACTTTCTTCGAAAATTAGGATAATTTGCAAAAAGAAAAATAACTGAGTTTACAAGATACATATTATGGTATGAGGGACTTTAAAAAAAATATTCATAAAAATTATAAGTTGTATTTACTTATCTTTCATGATTGTATGATGGACAATCTCGTTTTGATGTCCATTAACAAATCTACGGGCATTCTCGATGACCATTTACCCTGGTGCCTAACTTTTTTTCATCGCCATAATATCCTAGTGGAATCTCTCCCTGTGCTCGTCACTTCCAGCTCCTAAGTTTTCTGGGAAAATATCTAGATGACAATTAGGAAAATGAATCTTCAAAGGCATAATTTTATCCCAAGATATTATAATCTTCTAGTAGTTTAAAAAACTTATCCCTACAGTGGGCTTATTTCGTTTTTCCTAAAAAAATTTTTGCTCCTTCAAAAAACGAAAGCCATGCAGTTTTTCTTCTGTGTTTGATTTTGATATAAAATTGGAATCTTTCGTGACCTTACTTAGATTTTTAATTAATTCTAACCTTGAAACCAAAATACAAATTGTAAATTTATAGTAATGGAATCGTTCTTGGTTGAAACTTAAATGAAACTCCTAACAAACAAAACAGAGGAGTTCCGGTAAATTTGAACATTATCGATTCTTATTGTAAATAATATTTATTGAGAACACTTCTTCTAAAATCGACAAAAAAAACACAATTATTTTAAAATAACCCTTTGAAAAAATACTAGAAATAGCATGTCGTCATAGCAATATTGCGTGCTATTGCAATATTAAACAACTATAAACCAATGAGAAGTTTAAAACAGACAAGTGTACAATATTGTTTTTGTTAGTAAGATTAGTTGCAATTGGGTGCAACACTCTTTTTCAACAATCCTTAAAAATTAAGCCAAATATTTTATTTAAATGCACATATTTTGATATTTATAATAATAGTAATAAAATACTTTATTGCAATTAACATGAGCATTACAATTTCTATACCTACTTAAACACTTACAAAACACAAACTTGCTTTCGCTCGCTACCGCAATACTGCTACGACACTACACGGCCCAACTAAAGTGACAGAGATATTTCGATATAATAGGACTTTTTCATTACTTTTCTGTTTATATTTTAATAGAAACCAAAAAAATACAATTGAATCAACTGCAAAAAATCATGTTGACCAGCGTTATCCAAAGTTATCAGCAATGGAAAATATCAATAATAGATTTCCCTTGCATGGCAAATGATGAAACACATTGACCTTCCTATGCGTTGCAGTTTTAACCTCTTCATACTTATCAATTCTATATTCTGCTTATTATTTAGGAACAATAATGCTAAATTTATTTATTTGCTTTCGAATTGACAACATTCCATCATGAGAAATGAGTTCTGTCAAAAATAAATAGTAATGTCATGTCAGAATTTTTCTATTGTAGAGGTCGTAGCATGTTGAATAACTAACCATTAGTGATTTTTACCAAAACAAGTACTTGAGTAGATGATTTAATTTCTAAGATTTGTTTCAGGGTAAATTTTTTAGATGTAATGATATTTCGAAGATGACAGAAGAAGAGTGTCAGTAAGTATTATCAATATGGAATGAAAAACAAAATAATGTTACATAATTTGAGTCTGAGTAGTGGTTTTCAACAAATTATTGTATTTTAGGGGGACATATTTGGTGTTTGAGAATCGTAATTACGTTGTGAGAGATAGAGAATGGAAAAGAAATGACTTCCATTTTGATAATGTTATGAAAGGCATGCTTACTCTCTTCACGGTTTCTACGTTTGAGGGATGGCCGGGGTAAGTTTACTTGGATGATATTGTTATTCTTTCTAAAGTTATTATACACATTCCTAAATATTTATAAATGTTCATACGGTTTTCATTTCAGATTGTTGTATGTATCAATTGATTCGAATGCTGAGGATCGAGGTCCCATAACTAACTTCCGTCCAATTGTTGCAGCCTATTATATTATTTATATTATTATAATTGCCTTCTTTATGGTGAGAAAGTTATTTATATCACATTTTTAAATCGTTTGGTTTCAGATGATATAATCAATTGAAATTTATTCTAGGTAAATATATTCGTCGGTTTCGTTATAGTGACATTCCAAAACGAGGGTGAACAAGAATATAAGAACTGTGAATTAGATAAGAATCAGAGGAACTGCATAGAGTTCGCATTAAAGGCAAAACCAATAAGGAGGTAATTTTTGCTACGAATTATGAACATGGTTTTTGCGGTTTATTTGGTCCAATAACTAAACTATTGTGCAATGTTTTCAGATATATCCCAAAACATAGGATCCAGTATAAAGTTTGGTGGTTTGTGACCTCCCAGCCCTTCGAATACGCAATTTTCGTGCTCATCATGATCAATACCATCACACTTGCTATGAAATACCATAATCAGCCACCAGAGTACAGCAAAGCTCTCGACATGCTCAACATGTTATTTACAGCTGTTTTTGCCTTGGAATTTATATTTAAACTCGCTGCCTTTAGATTTAAGGTAAGACTTTGATAGATACGGTTTTTATATACCTTTGAACAGGCAAACGTCCTGCCCGCAATCCATTTGTTGGTTATTAGTTACTGCTCATGGACACTTGCATACCAATCATGCGTTCGTGCATAATATTAGCGTGCAAAGTAATATGTAAGCTGCTTAGAAAAGTATACCTAAAGATTATCATTTTATAAGCTCTTCCCTTTGAATGAGTCTATATCTTGATGTAGTTATTAAAGTTAAAGTTACTTTGCATCGTGGACGTCAACTGTTTTTTTTTTCCATGATATAAGCCATTTAATTATAACTAATTCTTTTAACCTACTATAATCATTTCCTTTTCTAGAATTATTTTGGAGATGCGTGGAATACTTTCGACTTCATCATCGTATTAGGAAGCATCATAGACATCGTGGTATCGCAAGTAAACGAACTTAAGAACCAGGTAATTCATATAACGCACCTTTTGTTAACTTCATGAATTTATTAGATTATCACTTTCACTGATATTATAGAATTCAAAGTTGAGATGGCCATTGAAACCAAATAGTTATTTATTATTATTAAATTTGATTATGGCCATTTCAATGTGAAAACAAATTTTGTTACTGTCCCGAGCATGGACAAAATCGATGTTGTATTAACAGTACCCGCTGATGCAATCTCACAAATTGTACAGAAGATACCTACTTGAGAATTGATTGAAGGAGACACTGTTGATTTCAGGGAAGTGGGATGTCAAGAGCGCACGTAATAAAGGTGAGTGTCACGCTTTCACGCAAGAAGAAATTTTAACACACAAATTATTAGTACATCTTTAACAACATAGAATCCTGAAATAAAATCATGAAATGTTTGTAGCATCGATCATGATTATAGAACGTCATAACGCTTTAGATGTTGTCTATGCAGGCAAAATAAACGCAGCTTTAAATGTTGAATTACAAATTGGGACAGTAACTTATATAAAGTACATAATATTTACCACAATTATTGAGGTAACACCAACACATATTGCACCCTGCCACTTACTCATCCACGATATAAAATTCATAAATATTAGAATATACACAAACTAAATTAAGGTATCATGTTTGAGCAAAAAGTAAGTATTTATTTTTTTAGTCCCCCATGCTGGACTGGGACAAAAAGAAAATTTATGAAAACGTAAGAATTATATTGTAAATATTATGATAAAAAAAATATTTCAAGCTTATAGAATAGCAGCTGCTTAAGTACTGCGCAGAAAGTATATGTCTGTCAACGGACATGGATTTTCAGCCTAAATCACTTATTATTGTTTCTGGTTAGCAAAAATGCAAATTTATGGAGACCAAGTTTGTTCTTATGGATGTAAAATATATGTATCTGGTGTGTGAAGTCATAAATGTAATGGTGACTAGATTTACCAAAAAAAATGTAATTGAGAACTTGAGTTGCGGCGTAACAGATATTCCACCTATCTGATCCATGGAAGCTTCGCTTGTTCCGCTCGAATTATTTAAAATAAATTTAATTAATAAAAATGTTGTAGACATTAATTTTCTGGTAAGGGAAAAAAATACGTTTATAATATTTTAGGCATTGAACTAATACAAGTTAGATGTAGAGACTACATTGATGTTTCTTCTTTCAAATGTTTAATAGTTGTACAGGTATTTCGTTTGACATTGTGGGTTACCCACAATGCATGAAGAGATGTCGCTGCCTTGCAGCCTAGGACATACTAGAAGAAATTCTACACGGCCATTATGGTCACGGTGGTATAATTGGTCAGTGCATCCGATAGCGGAGTGGAGTCTGCTAACTGGACCGCGTGGAATATTTTCTAGTAAAATTTTCTTCAAAAAATGGACGATTCAAAAGAGTCGTATTATGCATTGAATTTATATAAAGAAAGTTTACTTTGAACATTATTTTTGGATGGTACGTTTTAGGAGAGTTCCATACCTTCAATCAATTTTTTCCGCCTGTTCCGAGTGATGAGACTCGTGAAGTTGCTGTCTCGAGGCGAAGGCATCAGGACTCTGCTGTGGACCTTTATCAAATCATTTCAAGCTTTACCTTACGTCGCATTACTTATTTTGATGCTGTTCTTCATATACGCTGTTGTGGGGATGCAGGTAATGAAACCACCTTTGAATACAAATACATTATTTAAATTCTACAAATAAATACTGAATGATTTTGATATTTCAGGTGTTCGGCAAAATAGCGATAGATGATGACACTCCCATTACAAGAAACAATCACTTTCAAACATTTCCACAAGCAATTTTGGTGCTATTTCGCTCTGCTACTGGTAATGTTTTATAGTAATTTAATTAACTTCTAATATCCCTATAACTTCAATGGATCCTATTTCAATGGTATTGGAAGACATTTTCGATTAATCTAATGGGTTTTAATATTCAATATTTAATTACCTTAATGTTATAGAACTGATGCCGTGAGAGAACTGAAATGATATATGGGCAAATGTTTGGCCGAGCCGATTTTAAGACTTATTTCTTTGGTGTATTTTTTGTTATAATGTTGCTTTCCCCATTTTTATTTATCCCTGTCGAGAATAATATGAAGGGATTCCAAGAATCAAACCTTTTTTTAAGTCCATCTTTTTATTTACGACTCCAAAAAAACAGATATTGCTGAGTTTCTTGTGGGTTCTGTTGATTTACGAACCGATGGCGTAATATCAGAGCTTGTAAAAAGCCTTAAGTGAATTAACGATTATTGAATATTTCTTAGGTGAAGCATGGCAGGATATCATGATGGGTGTATCGCCGGAACCGGAAGTAAAATGCGATAAGAACTATGACGAGGAAGGTGAGGACGGTGGCGGGACGTGCGGCAGCGTGCTCGCGTTCCCTTACTTTATATCGTTCTACGTCCTGTGTTCGTTTCTGGTACGTAAAAAAACGATGTGATATTAAAACTCTCATAAACTCTCACATGTCTCAATATAAAAGTGAAACCCTATTTTCCGTGGTCACACCATCATTTTATAACGTGTATCCTTCTTTCTCCTTTTCTAAAGAAAGAACTCAGGATAAAAAAAGAAAGTTGCGAGAAAGTAAGATAAGATATGTAAGATTACTTATAAATATTATTAATTTTATGTACCTTAAGTGAGTAACTAGTGAAACCTAAATAATAAATAGACTTTTGAATTTCATGGCTATCAACAGCCGTCTTTGACCTATTCGAGGCCCTGGGCATATTAGGATAATGGGGCCCCTATGAAGATATTGAAGTTGCTACAGCTTTCGAAAATCTCTTTACTGATATTCCAATTTCAACTACTAAATCTTCGAACTCTTCCCCCATTGCTGCCGAATCAATCTTAAGAGAAAACGTGAAACCTTGTACTAGTCATTTTCATTTTAAACATGTTGACTTCAAAGATGTAATTAAAACGTTTCACCAATTAAATAAAAAGAAAACCACGGATCTGTGGGGCAATTCCGTTGATGTTTCTAAATCGGTAATTGAGACAATAGCTCCTATTCTAGCTTGCATATTTAATGATTGTGTTGACTGTGGTGTTTTTCCTGACCTCATGAAATACAGTAAAATAACTCCTTTGCATAAAACGGGAAGTACATCAGACCCCACAAACTTTAGACCAATTTCTGTGCTACCCACCTTTAGTAAAATTTTCGAAAAAATCATGTTAGATCAAATGCAATCACATTTTAATAAATATAATATACTTCACTGTAAACAATTTGGTTTTACACGGGGTCGTTCAACAACCGATGCCGGTGTTGAACTTATACAACAAATTTTTGACGCCTGGGAGAACTCGCAGGACGCTCTAGGTGTGTTTTGCGACTTGTCCAAGGCTTTTGATTGCGTTTTTCATGAAACATTACTCAGGAAACTCCACCACTATGGATTTAGAGATACTGATCTGGATCGTATTGCGTCATACCTGATGGATAGGATTCAGAAGGTTGACATTAACGGCAATAAGTCTGCGGGTTCGCCGGTTAAAATGGGTGTTCCGCAGGGCTCAATCCTTGGTCCTTTCTTATTTTTAATTTATATTAATGACTTACCTTACTACGTTAGAGATAAGCATGAGATAGTATTGTTCGCGGATGATACATCACTTTTATTTAAACTCAAACGTAAGGAAACAGTCATTGACGACGTGAACAGTTGTATCTCTAAGGTAGTCCACTGGTTTAATGATAATAATTTATTACTAAATGAAGGGAAAACGAAATGTATTAAATTTGTATTACCTAATGTAAAACAGGTAAAAACCAGTGTGAATGTAAAGGATAGGAATATGGGCCTTGTAGACACCACAGTATTCTTAGGGATTACTTTAGATTCTAGGCTTCAATGGGGCCCACATATTGATAAATTGTCAAATAGACTTAGTTCTGCAGCATATGCCGTAATGAAGATACGCCAGTTAACGGATGTAGATACGGCCAGATTAGTATACTTTAGTTATTTCCATAGTGTAATGTCGTACGGAATTTTATTGTGGGGAAACGCCGCCGACATTCAAACTATTTTTGTGCTGCAGAAGAGAGCTATTCGATCAATTTATAATCTTAAAGTTAAGGATTCCTTAAGAGATAGGTTAAAAGAATTTGGTATCATTATACCAAATTCTTTTAACCTATCTCTTAAACCGTCATTACGGTCGCATCACAATACATTTACGAAAATTTATTACTTGTAAGAAAAAATATTAATTTGTTTCTTAAAAACAGTGATGTTCACACACTTAATACAAGAAACAAAAATAAACTAACTTTACCTGCTACTAGGCTTCACAAAATCAATAATTCATTTAAAGGTCTTTGTGTTCGCTTATACAATAAAGTCCCAAGCAATATCCAAGAGTTAAGCATAAATAAATTCAAAGATAGTATAAAAAAGCACTTATTAAAAAAGCTTATTACAAAGTGTCTGATTATATTACAGACAAAAATGCTTGGGTTTGAACTGTTCCAATCATTCCAACAGGTTTTCTATATTAAATAAATCATGATTGTATTGACGTTGTAACAACATAATGATTTGTAAATGTTGTTACATTATGCTTTTAATGTTGTGGAGTTTTTTTCGCTCGTTTTTCTCCGCAGCTAAAAAATATGTCCAATAACGAGTGGTAGGGAAAAAAATGTTTGGACGATTCAAAAGTGTTGTACTATACATCCAATTTGAATAAAGATATATTGATTTCTGATTTCTATGACTTCCGTTTGGTGATTTAACAGGAACTAGGGACTTTGTATATGATCTGAGGTGGCCCCCTATATCGCGGGGCCTGGATACTTGCCCAAAGTGCCCACTGGGAAAGACGGGCCTGGCTATCAACAAAGATGATAAAGACCTTTTTATTCCAAATTCGTATTATAATTATATGGATTGTTCACGTTTTCAGATTATTAATTTATTCGTTGCTGTAATTATGGATAATTTCGACTATTTAACCCGAGACTGGTCAATATTGGGACCACATCACTTAGATGAATTTATAAGGTATGCATGTTGTGACACAGTTCAATTTATGAATGAATAATATAATATCAAAATCGTTATAGATAAATCGCACACATTATCGAAAGTGAAATAAAAATATTACATGTCATTAGTAGTAGTACACTCATTATTTAACACGATCATTTAACTAATCCCCGTGTTGTTTTTAGATTATGGAGTGAATATGATCCCGACGCGAAGGGTAGAATAAAACATTTAGATGTAGTTACATTATTAAGAAAAATAAGTCCACCCCTTGGTAAGTGTTTAAGAAAAACTATACCCGATATGATTACATCATCCATATAGAAATAATCGTAATCCATCAGATTCCAATTAACTGAGAGTAAGCCAGAAGAGTTCGATGACACTGGTGGTTAGCGCGTTCGGCTGCGATCGTTGAAGTTAAGCAACTTTCGCAGTGGTCGGTCATTGGATGGGTTACCAAAAATCTTCTGTCTCGAGTTCTTCCGTGCTTCTGAAGGCACGTTAAGCCGTCTGTCCTGGCTGCATCTGTAGTCGTTAGCACCCGCCAATCCGAACTAGGCCCGCGTGGTGGGTCATGGCCCTCTCTTTTCCACCCAAAGGGAAGGCTTGTGCCCCAGCAGTGGGGACATTAATAGACTGATGATGAAGCAAGTGTAAAAAGTATTAAGAAGCCATATTCTCAAATAAATCCAATACAATAAAAAGAGTTAATTTGTGAATTTCAAATTTCAGGTTTTGGTAAACTATGTCCACATCGAGTGGCGTGTAAAAGATTGGTCTCAATGAACATGCCTTTAAACTCAGATGGTACAGTTTTATTCAATGCTACGTTGTTTGCTGTTGTGAGGACCTCGTTAAAAATAAAAACAGAAGGTAAGGTTGACAATAGTTCTATAATTATAAATAAGTATCATACCCACTCTTATTCAAAGTCAAGTCGAAACGATAATTTTAACATGAATGTGAAAATAATCGATAGAATTTTGTGTTTTACTTGCTCTTGCACTTAGCATTGTAACAATAAAATTGCTGTCGATAGAATCGGTTGAGATTGAGACAATTCAATGAAATTAAACAGTTGTTAATAAAATTATCTATAACAATTTTCATTCTTCACATTAAGTGTTTTGCTTATAAAGGTTTAAAGAAACTTAGCTGAGCCGATTTCATTGCACTCATATAAGCAATTGTTTAGTTTAATACAAAAAAAATGCTTGTTTTCCGTTTGTCAAAAAGGTAACATCGATGACTGCAATACGGAACTACGAGCTGTAATCAAAAAAATCTGGAAACGAACTTCGCCAAAGCTTTTAGACCAGGTAGTGCCGCCTCCGGGAGACCCTAACGAGATCACAGTGGGTAAATTCTACGCAACATTCCTAATACAGGACTATTTCAGAAGGTTTGTCATTCATTTACTTTTCCATGTACACAAATCTTTGCTGAATTGTTTGCTTTTATTCATTCTCTTTATTTAAACAATGTAAAACAGGTTTTATTAAAAAAAATCTGAGGAACAAATTGGTTCAACAAACAAAAGTGCTACCTAACAATGTAATAATTTAGCAATTACAATTTAACAAAGTCATTTCGTTTTTTTTCATTTGTCAGGTATGTCTTCGTGATTTTGTATTCTATGTGCATTTACCACACAATCGTGTAAATTGGATTCGTTGCATTTATATTGTGTACTTTTAAGATAAAAAACTGTTTAAATATTTTGAACTTAAACTATTTCTTTCTTTATCCTACACCAATGTTTTCATAAACTTGATTCCTTTCGGTTGACACTGATTAAGTTATTTTTGTTCCATAGGAATCACGCGTAAGTAACGCAAGATTACGTATGTTATATAGGAAAACAGGAATGTACCCTTTTAAATTCATAAAACGCTGCAATGATCCTTTGCGACTTAGATTTGTTCAAAGTCCATACCATAAAGTTTGCTGTTAACCATCCGAACTGTATAATTTATAAATTCTTGTAAATTGATAAATATTCCATGCATGGTTTCCATTTATAAGAAAACAACTGAAGATTTTTTTGTTTCTATAGTTTTGACTGAGTCCGTGTATCCTATGTGTATAAATTAAGATTTTGCTTCCAGTAAGCATGCTATCATTATTACATTAAAAAGTAATAATAAAGTACCCAATAAATAAATGAAATTTAACTGTTCTTCATTCCCTTTACATGTTGTGGTTTTGTGATATTTTTCTCCCTAAAATAATTTAGATTAGACATAAAATAAATCTCATAAAATGTGTGGTAATTTAAAAGTCTAGATTTGCCGATTAAATGTATGTTTTGCATATATTTTAAATTCTAAACAGATATTTGGTCTATATTGTTTTTCCGAATTACATAGGAATAGATCTCTTTTTTCACTAGTTCTCAATTTAGATGCTTTCAATTTAGACAAGTTTCCAGTACACTTTATGATATAGAATAGAAACGATAGTTGCACAGATTATATATTAATAAAGTCTTAAGTAAAATCTGCCTGTCGAAAATAAGGTTCAAGAAGAGAAAGGAGCAAGAGATGAGACAGAACGACGAACAGACTCACCAAATGACGCTGCAAGCTGGTCTCCGAACGTTGCACGAAGCAGGTCCCGAACTCAAAAGAGCCATATCTGGCAACTTGGACGACATCACTGCTGAATCTGATATACCTATGCACAGAGTAAGTTTTGAACTAGAATAACTTAAACAATTCTAGTATAGTTTGAAGGTAGCGCAAGTCGCGGTGCAGTAAACGAAATGTAAGGTGATGTAGGCGCGAGTACGGCACTAAACTGAAACCTGCGTATAGTTGCAACAGCAGCCAAAATGTTTAAATTGCACTATACTAGAATTACTAAAATAGACTGTAGCATACTTTCACGATTTCACTTCCAAAAAAATATCTATAATTTTTATTATTTTTAAAGCATGTAACTGCTTGATGTTTAAATCTAAAGAAAATATAACTAGAAAAAATTCCACGCGGACCAGGCAGCAGACGGGACTCGAACCCGTACCCTACGCAATCCGGGCGAATGCACTGACCAATTGTGCTACTGCGGCCCTCACAGACCGCGTCGAAATTCTTCTAGCCATTCTTAAGCTGCAAGGCAGCGCCAACTCTTCGCATTATAGGTAACCCACAATGTCAAATGAATACTTTTACAAGTATTAAACAGTGCATGGTCAGTGCATTCGCCCGGATTGCGAAGGGTGCGGGTTCGAGTCCCGTCTGCTGCCTGGTCCGCGTGGAATTTTTTCTAGTTATATTTTCTTTAAAAAAATCTCTATTCAAAAACTGACGGTTGAGCTGAGATTTTTATATTTGTGAAAAAATATTGCATTGACACATTAACTAACTAAAAGCATCGGCAAAAGCGATCAAGTAAGATAAGATAGTGTTTTCATTTCACAGAGAAATCATTCATTATTTGGCGGAGTATGGTCAAGTATACGTAGGCACGGGCCCAACAGACACTTTCACAGGCATCGTAAACATGGCGATGCACCTGCGGGTAAAGGATCAGTACATTATTTTACAAATCAATAGGACCAGTAGGTAACAAATATTTAACTCAATTTTTTCTGACTTCCATTTCCAGATGGTGTTGGGAATCATTTAAGCTCAATGATGCAACGGGAGTACGGCGTGGCATCGTTACCTCTGGCACCAAATCTGTTAGTTAATATAAAATTACTCGAAATTAAGAATTTGAGATAGCAAGAAGAACAATGTATTATGAAATGAATGTTTGTTTATTTTTAGCGCGAACGGACAGCCCAAAGAGCAAATACCATTGAGACCGTTGATTTTCAACGGCGAATCCGAAAAAATATACCAGGTGCTAGAGTAAGTATTGCACAATCTTTTGTTTATAGTAATAAGCCATTATAAATAGTTAACGTCTCGATGTCATAACAATATTATAGCTACATCTAAAACGAATAATGCTTATATTGCAGAAGAACCACATACGATCTAAAGAACGCTAGTTACGCAGGTAGTCAAAAGAATGGTTTTGCAGTGCTAGAGTTTGTTTTTGATACATCCTATACCTCAGACTGTCTATTAACAAAATTTCAGTCTGAACTCGATGTGAAATTGGTGTGAGATTTTGCCTAGTACATTCTTTAATAGTCTGTCCGTGAACTGCATTACGCATTTCAGTGAGACTTTTCTTACTTTTAGTAGTTTTCTGATCTGAACCGCATTTCGCATCGAGTTAAGACACGAGTGCACACCCGTTCACCTCACCCGCTGTTACCGGCTAACCGAACTAACCGCACGCTCGCACCACAGCAACCAAAAGTCGAACTACCCCGAGATGCTCGGGCAGATCGGGCTCGCGTTCGGCTGCGTCAACTACCTCTCGTCGGGTGCTTCGCGGCAACGCGTGCACCCGGAAGAAGTGTCCTCATCGCGGGAGCGTCTGGCGGTTCCGAAAGCGTCGCCCGAAGAGCGGACGCCTTCGCCCGGGGATGCGGCTATACAGCCGAAGATATCGCCGCTGCTGACGAGCGACTGTACTCCGACGACGGAAGCGCGGACGATGACGCTGTACGGGTACAACGCGGCGGCGCGGCTGCCGTTCGCGTTCTCGCATACGTCACGGCGGAGTCTGCGGGCAGTGACGTCATCGGAGCGGGGCGCAGGTCGGATGGTGCGCAGCGCGTCGTCGGGCGCGGCGGGCCCGCATGCGCCGCCCGCGCCAACTCTAGCGCACCACGCACACTCAGGTCCGCACCGGCGCGAGGCTTCCTTCACTGCCGACTCCGACCCGATCTTCGATTGTTTCTTTTGATAAAGTTCTTTCTTGGTAAATTAATCCAACCACGCCTTCGCCGGACTGTGATCCAATCTTCGACTAGACCAAACATCGAATCTACGCTACCGCTGGTGTCGATTCTGGCAGGTTTCTTTAAATCTAAACTTAAATTTGACAAAAGTGTATCCTTGTCATTGTCAGGTTAAATTTTGTTTTAAGTATAGAGCATCATGGCATAATATACACTACTATCACTCTAGTCTATCTTTTCTTATTGGATATATAAATCCCACCAAAACAACGCCAAATTACTGACAACTCCGACCGGATGATTATATGATCCGATCTTCTCGTTCGACCACTTCTGGCTTCCACCGTACTATGATCCAATCTTCGACTATCTCTCTGATTCTTCCCAAGACCTGGCCGAGTCCGGCCCCGCTAGTTTGTTGCTGTTATCTTTTCATTTATGATACATAAATCCAACCAAAACTAGACTGATCAATATTCAAACGTTTCCCTCCTCCTAATCGTCGGCCACGCTATTCGCCCTTAACTATGATCCGCTTTCCGACTGTCTCTCTAAATCCAAAGCGACGCTAGTCTTTCTATTTTGATAAATAGATCCAGCCAAGATTTCCCATTAGACTATAATCCGATCCTTCTCTACAAATCATCGGTCCACGCTACGCTAACTTTACTATCGGTACTATGAATAAATCTCCAAATGGAACCTGATGGAAATTTTGTAATTATTTGAAGTATTTTTGCGCATCTTGAAAATTCGTCCAATTCTATTCTATTTTTATTGATTTATTCGATATAACCAACGCTGTGTTATACCTGTCAAATGATAAAGAATAGTTAACCCGAAATGAATAATTTCCTATAATGAAATAGCTGTAATCTCCCATCACCACAAAAACTTGTATTCAACTCTTCGTTACACTATAAAATGGCGTAAACATAATAGTATATTTCAAATTCTTTAGATTCATGTTTTCCATTTTCTTTCCCTATTTCTGTATATCTCTAACATATCTTCTCTGTTTTTCAGTACTCAATGTACACAAATTAGGCAGATGAAGGAAGCTGTTTTCATGTAATCGCTTAAATCACTAAAGAATTTCAAGATTTTCAGATTACTAATTCTATTATTTTATGTAAATTCACGTTAATTTTGGTACGCAATATCACTCATACAGATTTTGCTTTGCTAGTTTCAATTAACCTCACAAAACATAATTCACTCGACCTGAGATTTAAGAACACTAACACTGATTTGCACTAAAAACTAACAAATTATACTAAACATAGTTTTGTTTTCACTAAAGCTTTTGATTAACTATAAAATACAAAGTATACAAATCATAATAATGATAGCATGCCAGTTAAAGAGCCTTGGAGTGCTAATAGATCTGCATTAGTTAGTGAAAAATTAGAAAGTAGAAAAACAAATTACGATTAGCTACCATTTTGACAGTATATAAGATATGCACGAGAATTTTTACAATCATAAAAATCTTTCACGAGGACAGAATATAGTTTAGTAGAGCAAGCATTGAATTCATTGCTGTAGAAGACAGACTGGCTAAAGCTTCAAAATGCTTTAGACGAATTTAGATGATAGATTAGATGATCAAGATAATGATAATTTGTAGATGAATGATTTGAATTCAATCGAGTAGCTCTAACAGTAAATTATTTGTTAATATTTAACTTTATTCCAAAAAGTAATATTTTGTTTTAAATCTAAATAAAAAAGTAAATATTAAACTAAATCGGATCAACCTACTACAATTTCTTGAAAAGCATTTTTTGATCAGGTTTGCAACGAAATATTGAACAACGGAAATATCATCAAGATAAAGTTATTTCAATACTAAAATTACATATTTCAGCCGGGGATAACTCGACTAGGGGCGTTGTATCATTACCGGGCAGCCCCCGAGGAATCAACTCATCCGTTCCCGTTGTTGGATCTGCCGAGAGCTTAGTTACCAGGGTAATTTGTTAATAATAACACTCACTGAAATTTGCTAATAACCTTGAGTCATACCGAAATCTGATTATTTGTTGATTATTTTCATTCAACAAAATATTCTAATAACAGGTCCTAGCTGAGCAAGGCTTAGGAGCGTATTGTGATGCAGATTTTGTAAGGAACACATCTCGGGAGATGCAAGAGGCATTAGAAATGACACAAGAACAGATGGATAGGTAAAGCCACGACAAAAATATTATAAATACTGCATTAAAATAGATCGCTTTCAATTCAATATACTTTGTAATGCGTTATTTCTTTTTCCACAGAGCCGCTCACCAACTCATGATCCAGGAAAAGAATTTAAAACTTCAAAATCAACAACCTCAAGTTGTAAGTATTTATAATAAATAGTTCTTGGTGCTTCACTATTTGCGATTTTTTCAATACAAACACAAATAGCAAAGCATACATAAAAATATTGTAAAATAGTAAGTGTTTAATTATTACGTATGAAGAAATTCGTAATAGTGAAGCAATATTTTTCGTGAATGAAACATTGGTGGTATAAATTAATGTATAGGGTGATATTTGGGCTGTCACAGGGCGACATCTTAGCCCATCGCTACCACCCTTTCCACCAACCAGCGACGATGCCGCCGCCGCCCTACAAGCGGTTATAGCACCAGCCCCCTTCGCGGACGCGCCAGGTGACACACAAAATGGCGGAAAGGAGCGCACACAAAATGGCGCCCAAAAATCCACCAAGCGTCACACGCACCACAGGCGGAAAAGAAAAAGAAAACCAATCCTGGTTTAGGAAATATCTCATAGAATTAAGTAGACATACTTTACATCTATAAATCTGCGAGTATTCAAAGACCCTAGGCTCGATTGGTGATGCTCAACGTTTTCCTTTAATTTTAATTAATCCTATTTGACCAGGCGGATCAAAGTTAGATATTTGAATAATTTTTAAAATAAATTTCTAGAAGTTATGTGTAACGGTAAAAGTGAGATTCGTAGTTCGATAGGGTATAGATACATTGGGACATTGAAGAAGATGGGTGGCCAAGCAAAGCACAAACACCAGTTTTCACGAATGTGCGATGAGAAAACTGGAACTTGGCCATATTAGATAACTTTTAAATAAATTATAGAAAGTATTATTAAAATTGTGAGAGAGAAACAAATGTCTCGTAAAACAATAATAGATAGAAGTAATTTTTACGTACTTAGTTACTAAGTATTTTATTACTTTGACATGTTTTCAAATTGATAACTCTTATGACCGCACTCACAGACATCAACTATCTTTTTACTTTTATTAAACTTGATAATATAACTATCTTCGAGAAGACGAAACGTTACTAAATGGAGAATAAAATTTTATTGACGTCTCTGTGTGCGGTCGCTAGTGAGACTTAAAAACTAAAGTAAAAAATCGTTAAATGAGAGCCTTGTTGTTTAAATCCAAATTATTGTATCTACTCTCTGTTCTTCTATGAATGTTAATGAATTCTAAAAGCCAACATTTGATATTCTTATTATTTGAATTGTTAAAAGCTCCTTAATTCAAGTATCTTTATGATTTATTTACGTCAAACGACATTTGGAACTGTTTTGTGTTACTTTTTTTTATTGTTTGGACCTATAAGACAATATTCATTAGAAATACTCTAAAGAACTGATTGTGAAGCCCTAGATTCAAGGAAATCCAATTTTCAGTAGTTTTGGGGTACGTTTGTAAAATTCAACACTGATAGTAAGTATTCCGTAGCTGAATTGTATTTTATAAGCGATACCTCATCGTTCTAGTATTGACCACTAATTTTAGGAGTACTACAAACAGATTTTTAGTAGGTGCCAAAATGTAGTTATAGATGGCACCGTTTTTAGAATTTTTTCATCTTTCTCTGCTTTCTATGTGGTATTTTGAAAGCCATACATTTTTAAATATTATTATGTATCTACTTAAAGATATTTATGAAATTCTAATAGTGAAAGTGCAATAGTTTTCCATTTTTTGTGTATGTCAGTGGCATAAAATTTTGTACCTTTTTGTAGGTAATTGTAACTTTAGCTAATAGGAACGTTACTTGACAAAACCGACAAATTAAGAGTCCGTTAATTCGATGTCAAACGGGAATAAAATCCTATTATTTTTAATATTGGTTGAATTAAATTAAGATTCATCGGTGACTATGCAGAAAATTGATTACAAATTACTTTAAAAGTATAAAAAATCAATTCAAAATAAATTTGATTGAATAAGTACATTTTTGTTATTTATTTTTTCATTATTATCAGCTGACAATACAGCAGGTTATGACAATTTATCAAAGTGTTCACGAACTACTTACAAATTTGACATAAACAAATATTTGGAAGATTTTTTCAGTTTTAAATAATTATGTTGACGACTTACTGATGATTTCATAATCAGACTAATGATTCTATAATCTAAGTACAAAAGTATTGTTACTATTGTATTTCGTGTTTTATTTACATATATACATTATTTATAGCACATTTTTAATGGGTTTATTTCACTTGACTCCAAAAATCCTTCCATTTTAACAACAAAACAGATTTTAAAAGTAAATATTTATAAAGTGGACGTAATAACTTTATTGTAGTGTTGACTACCTCACAGAAGCTTATCGAGAAAGCTGGAAACATTTCATGCCAGTCACTCCAAGAAACATTAGAATGCCTCACTCCCACATTCTAATGTAAAAAAAAGAACAAAGAAAACTGAGGACTAGGCTATATGGGCATTGTTCCCTTCGCCTTCCCTAAAAAGGGAGAACGTTAAAAAAAGAATATAAAATATAAAAAAAAATGGGTAGTAGTCTTGAAAACAATGGCTTTGGAGTCCAGTGAAATAACCCCTATAATGTTCTTCCATTATCAAGGAATATGGCCCTAAAACCTGTATCTTTTTCATGTAAAATTATGATTTATTACCAGTACCTATTTGGATTGTTATGGTTTAGTTTATCTACTTGATTTCATACATACAATGAATAATACAGGAACGTGTTACCTAGTGATTACCAATATAATAGAAAAATACCAAGTATCTACTTATATGAATTGGTATTTGAATATACCCTACATACCCTACATATTTATTTAGGATAAACTATTATTTTACCATTGATTATCCCACTGTTATCTAACTATCCAGTTCCTTATTTGTACGTTAAATGGAAATTAGCCATCTTAAAAAGCCATCTACTATTCAATAAATTATGTAGGTAGGTATTATTACATGAAATGGTCGCTGTATTTTAGTTAATGTTAACTTTGCAACATTTTTAACTAACGTTTGCATATTAGCAGTTATTTGTGACAAGAGCGCTGTAAGTTGAAAACCATAGTTAGCTACAAATTTTTTGGTCCTTCGAGCATATTTTCACGATATGTGAATCCCAGTCTATCTGTACGTAATATTTTTGCTAACATGTAGGTAACATCATCACACGGGTTTCAAGCTTTAGAAATCACTGAAGTAATGCATTTGCTGTAAAAGCAGACATTGCGCACTGCTAAAGAAAATCCAAATGCAGGCCTATATCCATCCAGATTGGTGTAACAAAGACTTCATTATTCTAAATAATAACATAATGGATAGTCAATTTAATAAATATTAAAAATGTTGCAATTTCAACCTAACCTGTTAGTTAAGTATTAAGATGACCTTAGTAAGTGCCCTTGTTCAAGACGCGACGACGCCGACGTAGGCTGGAATCGACCTCAGTTCTCCTAAGTCACATTCCTTTAGACATAAGATAATAAACCCAATTCTGAATCTTAGTTTATCACAGATGTTACAACTCATAAATAACCAAAATCAATGGGTATTATACATACATACATAATATATATATATGATACTTTTACACTATATGTATATTTTCAGTGCCAAGTTTTGACTGCAAACATTAAACCTATATGTTGCGAAACACTACTGAAAATTCCATAATATACAATCAATTATTTGCTAAAAATATATACGGCATTTTCCAGCAGGCTACATTTTATTGTAAATGATAATAATGTATTTATAACAAAACTTGATATCTATTTATATTGACTTCCATCTTTATAAAAACAATCAACAATTCAACATGTAAATAATGTAAAAACTATGACGATATCCATACTCCAAAGTCATCTCTTAAGTAGGTAATTTTTTACATACTAGCGTGGTGGCTAGATATTGCAATGTTGTAAATAACATGTAAATAATGTGAGAAAATTACAAGTGAAAGATATATTTATTCCGTCAAACTTATTGAGACATTTGATGACAACATGAATTATTTATTGTTTAAAAAAGGAAATTGTAAAATTGTTTTCATATAATTAAAAAAGTGAGAAACAGGCACTGCATTTTAATTTATCCAGCATTATTACTCCTCTCGTTATTTTTTTTGAAGTTATACTTCTTTAGGCGCGTTATGAAAAAATGATGAGAGTGAAATTTTAAGATGCGCGCGCATCACTGTAACACAAAATTTTAACAGCATGAAGTTGGTCGCTTTAGCGACCAACTTCATGCTGTTACTTTTGTGTTTACCGCACATTAAGAAAATCTACCAACAAAATAGAATCTCTATTTAGTGGGTGCTAACGTCTGCATTGTGAAGGCCTATCAAAAGTATTTATTAATCTGGAACAACGGAACCAAAGCGCAATTCAGGAGACTACAGCGCCATCTCTTGACCATTGGCGTAGTAGAACCAAAAACCACATCTTTATTTTTTGTAATAAAGTAACAGTTATAGTTATTCATATTTATAATATCAAAAGTATTTATTAATCTGGAACAACGGAACCAAAGCGCGATTCAGGAGACTACAGCGCCATCTCTTGACCATTGGTGTAGTAGAACCAAAAACCACATCTTTATTTTTTGTATTAAAGTAACAGTTATAGGCTTATAGGTATTCATATTTATAATATTTATCCACATGTTTCTAGTTTGTATATTCGGAATACGTGTTTGAGTTTCATACAAGTGCAAATCACATATGTTCTAATAAAATATATTCAGTAGCGATTTTAATTGAATATTTTGATTATTTATTTATTTTTTCAAATTAAAACTGAACTTTATTGACTGTGTCCTTTTCCAGACTTTTTATTAATTTATTGTAATTAATTATTTGCATGTAATCAAAAACTAATTTTAAACGATGCCAAAGAAGGATAACTTCTCACGCGCCTACATAAGTACACGCACCCATTTTTTTTATCAATGTTTCTGTATGGGTATTCAATTAGATGTCCCATTATTTCTATTATGTTTTTTAAACAAATAATTAACATTAATAACAATTCATTAACAGCAGAATGAGGCTTTATTGTACTAAAATTAAAATGCCATGATGTAATGCAGCAGTGATGTACAGTGAGACAATTTGAATCCTGACCCACTATAAGCTTATTTTGTTTCAACCATTTCAAAGCAATAAGGTAGATTTTTGTTTTCATGTATTCCTGGAAACAAACTTGTTATTTTCTGAACAATCATTTCCGCCACCTTCCTGTGACATAATTTTGACATTAAATTATTTGTAGTTTTGCCTAAGGACTAAGGAATACCCCATTAATTTACCAATGTTTTGTTGAAAGAGTTTCAAGTTTAAAGTGATTTTGAAATTCAACTTCTATTCTAATTTTATCTATATCATGATCTATTGCATTGAAAATAAAATTCATATTCAAAAATCTTTGTTTTTACACAGTAGACATGTTTACACAGTTTCCTTGTTATTAGAAGGTCAGAAATGCAATTACACATTCTCTATAAAGACAAACTTTTCCTTTTTTTTGAAATTTTTAAACAATCCGGGCAAGTGGGTCAGGAATCACTTGGTTCAATTGTACATATTATACACTAAATTATAATCAAATCAGATAATAATGAAACTGGTAAATTTAAATCTAAATACAACAGTGCAGCTATATAATATGTGAACCTATTTATCAATCAGAGTGCCTCTAGGCCTTTTCTCTAAAGTCTGAGCTGGAGTCTCAGCTTGTCTCTTGTTCATGCCTTTGCGTTCCAACTGTTTCTCAATAATCCTAGCATTGTTAGCATAACTGTCTGCCACTTCTCTCGCCTCAATCTCATCCTCTTCTTCGTCTATCGTAGACACAGTTACTGAACTGAATTTACCCATGTTCTTCGTGTGTTTAGTAACCATAATCTTCTTAGGTTGAGCTAGTGCCACCTGCTTATAAATATCTGTAACACCACCTTCACCAGCAGATTGCACTAAAGCTCCTCGCATTATAAATACAATGTTTGTTTCTTGATCATGTTTGTAATATAATGGTACAGCACATTTCTTACATTTCAATCTGTGTTGTCTTTCAATTCCTTTCTCCCTCTTCAAATAAACAGTTTCGTCGGGATCTGAAGTTATTTTGTGTGCATGTTTTGACCCGTCGATGACTCGAGCTCCATCAGTGGGCCTCAATGGAAGACGATCTATTGTACAATCCAAAATGAGGGTCATTTGACCACATATACAGTAGTAAATATGAAGAGGTTTGGTCTCATTGTATTCTTCTTGGTCTTTAGTATCTGAACATACTATACTTCTTGATACCACTTTAGGCATTTTAAATAAGTGAAAGAAAATTTTATTATAAAGTTTCTTTGAAAACAATCAGGATTAGGTTATTTATGAAACAGATTTGAATTAATTTTTCAATGTAAGCTCTTCTTCATGTCTTGTTTAGTTCAACTTGTTATCGATTAATGTAAGTGTATGTTATACCAAACCTTTTAAAAGTGAACAACAAAATAGCAAAATTATGATAAAAACAAACCAGCCAAAACTGTTTGTTACCATAATAACTGTCAGTTGTAAATGACATTATTCTTTTTAATTCTTCTGACGATACCGGAGAACCCTAAACTCGTACAACTTAATAGCAATATATACAAATAAATAAAAATGTTTTATGTTTAATTATAATCATAAATATTTAAATATATAATTAAATCTTCAATAAATATTTCTTAGCACTAGCACACTTATGAACTGAGTGGTTACTTTCTTTATGGCATTTTTTTTACAATGTGCAATTTTATTGCTGAAGTTACTGTTAAGCTTAACGGAACGTATGAAATAGAGACCACCTAGCCACAGACATATAACTAGTAGCAGACGGAATATTCAGTTTTAAACAGCGTGGCAAATACACACACATTGAAACTCTACCAAAGCATGGGCCGCATTTAGTATAGTAGAATAATGGATTTCATTATTGTTTCATGAAATACTTTTCCGAATAGATAGGTCCTAATGTGATGTCCATAATAATATTATAAATGTAAAAATCTGTCTGTTTAATATCTTCATGGCGAATTTAGCCAGGCGAAATCGCTGAACCGATAATGATGAAATTGAGCACGGAGATAGAATTAACCCAGGGAAAGGACATAGGTACAATTAGGAAAATTGAAATAAAAAATTAAGGCATACTTTTTATCTATTTATTTTGAAATAATGCAAGTTTTTTTAGAAAATTTCTCTGATATACATTTGTTTCTTAACATTGATGTTTACATCTAAGATCAAAATAAAATTTGACAACAACTTTAATAAGCAAGTGGACATGGTTTATATCATGATCTGGATTGTGCGAGTCAAATATATAATAATCGACATAATCACATATGAATTTAATCAAACTATTAAAATCATTACTTTTGTTTATTTTAAAACAAAAAACACTTAAAACACTATAAGTATTTGGTTGCCAATCCTGACGTTTCATAGATTTTAACCATGCATTCCGAGTACTTTTATCCTTTGGAAACCTAGAACAAAATTGTTTATGTGGTTATTTGAGTTATATACCTACCGATGCAAATGTTCCAAGAAATATGAATAGCTAGTCTGTAATAGGTGCCTATCTATTTACGTTCTTGATTGCATTCACATTCAAAATACAATGTAATGCAAACAAAATTAATGCCGAGAAGCTTTTTGTCTTTGATACCGAGTCCGTCCTCTGTTATGGCAACAGTACTTCAGTTGTCAGAATTGAAATTTCCTATCATGATTTATCCTGATTACTTCTATTTCTTTACTTTTAAGATATTACTTTTCACCGGTAGTATCTTAGATAAATAATCCTACGTAAAAAAGTCGGTTTTACGGGCGAAGATTTTACGTGACAACGTCTTTTTCTCGGTAGAATATTTATTGATATGAATATAATTAAATTGCACAATAGGAACAAGGAATTGAATGAAAATAAGAATTGCACAAATTTTAACTATAGAAATATATTTTGTTTACTAAAACATTGTACATGTAAACTTAAACTTAACACGAGAGACTCATCGTAACGTTACCGAGCGTTACACTTTTTCATAAGTGACTCCCAGCCGCAACCTAATTTAAGACGTTGTCACGTCAAAAATGTTACATGTTACGATAATATTTAAATAAGCTTCAAAAAGACTCAAAGACATTTCAGTACACAACAAAGACACATAAAAACTTACTGATGAAACGTTAATCCTGGTGTTCTATTGTAGGTAGCACTTTCACATCGATACGCACTGTACTTGACCATAGTAATTGAATAATCTCGTTTTGTAATATAGTTTCATCAAAGCAATATTCTTAATAAACACCGAAAAGTCGCATGTCCGATAAGTCATGTATAAAATGGCGGCGAGGAATAAAAATGACACGCGTCGACATTTGTTGATGTGTGAGTCAGTATTGCAATAGATGAAAGAATGAGATGCCACTATCGAGTTGTAGCTGAGTACAAAAAGGATAAAAGATCACGTTTTGATTCATAAATATAACTAGGTTTTATGTTCCGTCTGCTATAGTATTATATGTCTGTGCACCTAGCAGCAAAACCATGGTTACCCTAAAAAGACAAATGGCCACTGTTCGCCTTTCCACTCAAAGGGGTCATTTTACCGGTACGAGTCATTACCACTGATATATTGACCTTATCAAGCGTAGCAAAATTCTTTATTGCGCTTTTTCATAGAATGCGGTGGGCCTTCTATTAAAGTAATAAAATACTGTTGAATTATAAAATAATAGAATTCTACTCTAGTATATTCTTAATGGATATTGTGAAGAGTAATACCAATAATAACAATAATTCCAATACGACCCAAGAACCTTTAAAAAAAAAGCGTACTCCTTCCTTAAAGGCCGGCATCGCGATACACCTGGTGTTGCAAGTGTCCATGGGCGACGGTGATCACTTACCATCAGGTGAGCCGTCTGCTCGTATGCCCCCTATATCATAAAAAAACAAAAACAAAAAAAGAGTGCCGCAGGCCAATTATGCTCGCTAATTGTGATATTGTTTTGATGTCAAATTCACATTACGCATTATGCTCTCCAAAAATGCGATATCAAAATGACATCAACTTTAAAATGATATCAACTTAAATGCGTATTACGTTCAACTTTTTGACATAAAACAGTATCGCATAAACGTCAAAAATGTGAGACAGACTTAAGAATGAGGAGGTTTTTCTGTATCAAATTCCTTCTTTTTTTAATAAAAAAGAGTAAAATGGCTCGTTTCGGGTTAGTAATGGACTATTTAGAACGTGCTCATGCCGAGGACATGCGTAGAAGAGATAAACCCCTTGTAGAAGAGATACAATTAGCTCTTTATGTTCGCTAATTGTGATATTGTTTTGATGTCAATTTTACATTACGTATTATGCTCTCCGAAAAATGCGATATCAAAATGACATCAAATTAAGCATATTATGATCAACTCTTTAAAATGATATTAACTTGATAATTATCAATGCGTATTATGTTCAACTTTTTGACTTAAAACAGTATCGCATAAACGTCAAAAAAGTGATACAGACGTGGTACAGAATTAACAAGCTGTTGTTTTGTGTCACAATTATTATCGATGAGAATGAACAGATACTACATTTTTTTTTTAAATAAAGGATAAGTTCATTTTACGGTCTAGTTGTATTATAAAAAAGAATAGGTTGAAATTTGTTATGCTACATCATAGAAAGTCATCGAAAATCTGATTGATTGGGTCCTTAAATGGAACTAAAACAAAAAGAATTGTTTATTATTCACATTTGTTATAAAGGCTTATTGGAGAAGAAGTTATTTACTTCTTTGCCTACCCAATAAAAAAAATAATAATAAAAAAAAAACAAAATCTCTGTGGTTACATTTTTGTGAGGGCAACTCTAGCTCTAGCTGTCAACTTCAGACTTCTGTCCGCTGCGATTGTCTTTTATTCCACAGATTGGTTGCACATGTTCATCGATTTCTGAGGAATTTAGGGAAAGTATTACGGTCAATTCGTTAAAATGGGAGCAATAGCCAGCAGATACCGTGTTTCGAACTCCGGGCTCACTAGCACAGATTTAAAAAACCTAGAAAATGAGAACAAACGTGAAAATCCCGGGACTTTGGATGAGTTACACAAAAAGACCAAAGGTGAGATTCCTGTAAGATTAATACTAGTTTTTCAGCTTTACCACAAATCTGCACGTTCTCCAAGAGTATGCAAACCGGTTCTTATTCCTCGTTCAGTCAGAAAACGTCTGTAAACAAACATTTCCAATGTTCTAAAAGTTTGGTTATCTTGTGATGTAATATTCAGCCATTCTCCACAAAATACCATAAAATTAACAATATGAATAATTCCATTTTGTTACTAAATTTTAACTATTCATTCATACATAAAATACAGTAAAATTTTTCTCCACAATAATTTATACATGCGTGCCGAACATGTTTATTTATAGATAAGATTAAAGGTTTCTTAATTTCAAACTAAAACTGGTACGTTGCTTAGATAAAAATATGAAGGTCTAGTCTTGTATTACAAGCTATAAATTTAGGACAATAATTTTGTTTAGTCACAGCATAATAGGGTACTTAATTCCATTATATGTAATTGAATTTCGCGGTAATTTGTAGGGGAGGGGGAGGGGGGGCTCCCCCCGACCCCCCCGCCATAAAAGATTTTTGGCGGAAATGCAGTTTTTTTTTACCTAACCTAAAAATTCATTAAATCTGTTTTAAGTAGTGAAATTTCAGGGGGATAGGTATTAGGGAAGACCCCTCAGAGGGAAGGGTCGTTTTTTTTACATAAATGATAATTATGAAAAATTAGAGGGGTTTTAAAGGTAAAACTGTACTTCCAGGGCCTAGAGGTGATATTTGATTTTTTTGTAGAAAAAGTCTCTATTAACGAATTTTTCTTTCTGGCGCTTCGCCGGCCGCTGCCGCGGCACGCTCGCTTCGCTCGCTCGGCTCGCGCGTTAAGGTCACAACACTAACCTAACCTAACCTAGTGTGAAGTATCACCACACAAGTGGCTCATTAGAGTCCAAAACTCGCACTACACTCGACTATTCAGGCGATGGGACAGCAGAACTCGAGGCCGAAGGCTTTGAGGATGCCATGGTAGTCAGACGATGTTAATATCAACAGGAGTACGAAAAAGCTCTCAACTGCGACGAACACAAACACTGACTGACAGATCTCATTAATGGCGGTAAATTGTCACATTTTGACAATAGTACCAACATAATAAACTTATATTTACCATAGACAACGAGAATCATGTTATTTTTGCATAAAAAAATGGCAGCACTGATCAAAATTGCTGTCAAAATTGACTCATAACCTACAAAAATATTAATTTTCAATAATTTTTTTCTCGAGTTCTATTTGTTTCCGCCTAAAAAGATTTCGTGTGCGTGTTTTTAATAGTTAATACTTTGCGTGACAAAAATTTCAGCTTGCAACTCAATTACATATAATGGAAAGCTGAGCCCATAATAGCATAAAAAATTTATTCTCTATAAGTTATCTTGAGGCCTTTGCAATGGCCGGGTTTCAAGGTGATGCCTTCTCGAAATGTCCCGAGTTCATATCCTGTTGAGAAAATTTCACCATGATGAATTTATGCATTCATAATGAAGTTATGGATGTTTATATATTTTTATGTATAAATATACTTTATGTATTAGTATATGTGTTCTATCCGTTATCCTGGTATCCCATAACATAAACCTTATCCCGTACTTTACAGTGCTCACTTTCCAGCTAACTTAATTGGTATATGTTATAAATATTTATTTATGTCTTTACTTCACTGAGTTATATAAGGAAAAAAGGTATGAGCATAGTATTTTTTTCTGTATTGCAGATGTCATGCCTGTAAACTTTGAAGGTGGAAAACTAATGGTGAACAAGGGTATATCTAATCATTTTCAGGTAATATATTACATTACATTATAACATTGCTTCTCTCAATCACATCAAAATGGAAAAATGGACAAAACTATTGTGACAGAATTATAATCTGATCTCACACTTACACATGAATACTTTAATTCCTGTGAAAGTAGATCAAAATGAAAGCCTAATAGATGAAGTCATAGAAAAATAATATTGTAAATGAAAACACATTTGGTCAAAAGCATTATTTATATCATCAAAAGATAACTGCATATTAGCCATCATACCTTGAAAAAGTTCTTGTACTGCAATGGAAATAGTGGGCAAACGATGCAGCAATTTCTTAATACATCAGTTAAATGTTTCAAAATCTGTTTTAATCTTTCTATAAATACTTTTAGCAATTGGTAATTTAGAAAACAAGTTTGCTCTAAACATTTCAGGGTACAAAATGGATACTTTCTCATAATTGTGTGGTGTTAAGCAGAAAGTGACCAGCTGGCATTTTGAAGCTAGCAAATATGAGTTCTGTGGACCAATGTTAGAGTTGATTGTGAAAGCAGAAAAGGACTATTGGTAATTTTTGAGATCAAACAGAATCGAACTTTGACAAGGTTTCACAAATTTCCCCTGCTTCAAAAATGCCTGCTGGTAGCTTTCTGCTTAACAATGCTCAATTATAAAAGCATACCACTGGTTCATTCAAGAATGAACTTAATGTCTATTATCTCCTTCTCAGATGTCACACACATTAACAATGAGTTCGCAGCAGAACGGATACAAACTAGGAGCCACATACATTGGCACAAAACAAATATCGCCAACGGAGGCATTCCCTGTCGTACTGGGCGATGTAGATCCATCTGGAAATGTTAACTTTAACCTCATACACCAACTTACACCTGAAATTAGAGTAAAGGGAGCAGCACAGGTAATATATCAATAGTTATTTATGAAACCGTTGTATAACAAAGGGTTATTAAAATACGAATGTGGATTTCTGTGATAATAGTATCTTATTATAACATAAGTCAAGTTATATTCAAGACTTTGTCTACACCCATGATGTGAGTCCTGTATAAAAGATTCTGAAAGCATGGGGCGTTCTAAAAACAAAATTCATTAAATTTTTCGGCGCTGTGGTAGTGAAGTGCACGTAAATGACAATGTTATTTTTTTTTTTATTCATAATACCATGCAGCCAACAGTAAAAACAACGTCAAAGAGCAAGCCTTCGGCGCGGAAGGGATTTAAAAAGCGAAGGAGTGTTATTATGAAATTTATAAAAAAAACTTTAAACAAGTGTTGGATGTTTAAGTTGGCAATAAGCTAACTGTTTTAGAATCTTTAATACCAGTTTTAAAGCATGGGTGTATTTAAATGAATTTTCCCCACACTATGGTTCTATAGAGTTGGATAAGAAATAATTTATTTTGTTAAAAAAACTAAAATCTTATTATATTTAATAAAACAATATTATAGTACAGTAAAGAACTGAATTGATGATGATAATGAGAAGATTCTTTTTAATGCAAATTCATGTTCACATGTTAAGTTACACAGTGGTTTTCATAGATAAATGTATCAGAATTCATAACCTAAAATGCAAGATGAGAATGAAGAAATGTAGCTTTAAAGTTGATTTCAAAATGTTTTAGTTCAATATAAAGTATTCCTTTTCGTAAAAATTATCTATATTTATTTTTTACTATATTATTGTTGAATTTTACTTTATTCAATTTACTCTGAGACAAAAAGTAAACAAACCATGAAAAGGTTTTACAATAGTTAAAATTAAAATGACCTAAAACCACAATAAAATTTCAAGCTACAGCTATTCCCAAACTTTGAATGCATTATAATACCACTAAATTAAAGAGAAGTGATAAAGCAAAAAATTTAGATTGGTGTGAAATTTTATATATTTTTTTTTTCAAGCATTTAACTGGTAGATTTTCATATCTAAAGAAAATTTTACTAAAAAAAATGCAACACAGACCAGGCAGCAGACAGGATTCGAACCCACACCCACCATTATGCTACCACAGCCCTATTTGTGAAACTGTGTAAAAAGTAAAGTTATACTGGCTGTCTTTACATTGATTTAAAGTTTTAGAAACATTGATTAATTTGTTTAACTATTGTCTAAGAGGAATTTGAATTTATACTCATAAATGGAGGAAGATGAACTCGGGCCACCAAGTAGTTAGTGCATTCAGTCTGATCGTGGCAGTTACACGCCTTTGCAATGGCCGGTAATTAATGAATCTACTGAGCTGAGTGAACTAAATTTTTTTGTATTGCTATGTACTTCAGAAGGCACATTAAGCTGTTGGACCTGGCTGCATCTGCAGTCTATAGAACCCACCATCCTTAATCTCTATTCCATCCATAGCTAAAGCCAATGCCCCAGCAGTGAGCAGCATTAATATGTCAGTGATGATGATGTTATTTAATACGCTACCTCTATTCCAGGTTCAAGAGTGCAAACTCACCGCTACACAAGGGACTCTGGAATACAAAGGCTCTGACTACACATTAGCATTGGCGGTAGGCAAACCCGACTTTAGTGAAAAGTCTTCAGTCCTCGTTGGTCATTACTTACAGGTGAGAATGATTTTAGCATTTGCTAAAAATTTAAAATTTAAATGAGTTTTTATTTAATTCTATGGTGATCCATACATACATAAACTGACAGTTTGGCGTTGGTCCTTCGAGCAGGATTATATAAAGTCATAATACGTATATTAGAAAAAAAACAAGAAATATAAAAAAGTCAACTTGAATTATTCATTTTTCAAATATAACATAAGTGGATTACAATACTCTTCACATATTTTATTTAGGAATGCAACGAAACCAATACGATAATCGTATATCGGCGATTACCGAAAGTTTTTCCAATCATACTTATAAACATTACGATACGACATATATTATATGTTTAATTATTTCCAATATTTTTACAATAATTACTACAGTTTCGAGTGAAACGAAACACTTGATGCGCCAATGTCTGAATACACCCATCCCCTTTGTTTGACAGCTTTAATGCAGAAAATTAAACAAAAAAAAGTATTAATTATAAGATTTCAATAGGTCAAATATTTTTTTTTTAGTTAGTCCTAATAATGATTTAATAACAGACAAAGTGATGCAAACAAAGCAAATAAATAAAACGCTATAAAACAAAAATCGGAATGCATTCGTATCGTAATTCGTAATCGTATTGGGCCATTACAATGTATTCGTCATTCGTATTGGTATCGTAATAGCCGTATCGTTGCATCGCCAGTTTTGTATTAACAAACTTACCCGTTTGATGCTTAAAAGATAAATATCAACTATACTCTATTAATTGCATTGCTAGATTATTCAATACTTACTTACTTACTGCTGTGGCGCAACGATCCGAAGTGGATCTTGGCCTCCGACACAAGATGACGCCATGCTCTGCGATCCCGGGCTAGGTCTCGCCAGCCGTCGCGAGACGGCTGGCGAGATTATTCAATATTGACTTTAATACGATGTATTCCTTTCAATGTGATATCAGCTTGAGTTAAATTTTGTTTCTTTGTTTCCACCAGTCTGTTACAAAGCGATTGTCGCTGGGAGCGGAACTGGTGTACCAATCAGGAACAAGGGTAATGGGGGGTGAAATAGCCATCGTTTCGGGGGCCGGACGATATACCATGGATGGTAAGTTTATGTCTAACACCATACAATTCACTAGCGATCCGCCCTCATTTCACTTCGACTATAGTTATTGTATTTGTTTCTTAGGTTTTCACGCACACCACTCATTAAGTAAAACAAGTTTCAAAGGTATAGATGCACTGGTTTATCTGAATAGATTTTCAGACGAAACATCCTGAATAAATTCAAAACGTCAATATATAAATAAATAAATCAGTGCATCTTTATTGTATAAACTTTTTTGAAGTGAAAACTTCTTTAGCAGCGTTGTACACTTTTTTTGTATGGGTAAAAAATGTTAAACTCGCGTCAGGTTAAACACGTGGGCTGATCGCATAATGACACACAATAAAATTGGAAAGGTTGTTGACTTTCAATATATTGGACGAAACATAGTAATATTTTATTTTACCGTATTATAATAATAAGTCTCTATCTAGGACGTCCACGTGGCAGCTTTATTGCAAAGAAAATGCATTTTTTTACAATAGATGTCGCTAGGTGCACTTAAATGTGATTCATGTAAGTTGATTTCTTATCAATAGATGTCGCTAAGTGCGCTTAAACGTGATTCATGTAAGTTGATTTTTCTGAGAGATAAACTTTTTTAATGTAATATAAATTGTCATGTTTGTGTACGATAGCACAATAAATAAATATTGTATTCTACCACATACATGATAGTATTTTTATACTGATAATTAAAGCAATTCGTGCGTTCCAAAATATCAAAAATGCACAACGTTAATATTCAAGTTTTCACTTCTGCCGGCACTCCAGAAGTGCAACCCGTCGTTTGTTTTATTTATAGTTATTGTTTTCAGGTATGTATTATGCTTATGAATCTTACTCTTGAATAACTCATATCTATTGCTGAAAACTGCATTAAAATCCGTTGCGCAATAGGCTATTTCATAGTGTAAAAAATAATGTACCAATTATTGGCATCTGTATTTAATTTGAATATTAGCAGTGATTTTACTATTCTTAAAGAACAAATTATTAATTACTTACTTTTTTATAAAATCTTGAAATAGAAATTATTAAATATATTAATTAATAAATGATATTATGATGTGTTGTATTTTTTAAATGACAAATTTTGAATTGTAATTATGTTGTTATTATTATTTTTGATTAATTTTAACATTTTATTTTGGAATAGGGGTGATGACGGGGTACAGTAAACGAAATTCTATTTAGTCCGTCAGTTAGATGATCAGAAATATTGGACACTTATTTTTTCTTTGGGCAATCAACCAAAAAATGACAAAGTTATAGCGCGTCAAAGTTTGGGAGTAAGGGCGACGTGACGTCACTTTTTAGTGAATTTTCTCTTAAAAGTGTACTCAAACGTGACGTCATGCGACTTTTCAAATCAATATATCTCTGCAATGTTTATATTGTGTGAATAAAGAAAAAATACGTGTCCAATACTTTTTGATAATCTACCTGATAAACGAAGAAAAAAAATTAGTCATCATCCCTATTGGAATCATATGAATTTGACATGTTTTATTACTGAACATTAAAAATTTTGACTTGTAATTTGAATAACCTAATGAAATTGTATGCTGATATTGCCACGACATGTTATGTACCCCTCAAATCATAACATCTTTCTTACACATGTTGTTACATTTTTTTTTCTTTCTTTCTTTATTTTTTTGCCCTATGGTTACGAGACCGGAATCGACCGGACCAAGCCACCAACGCCATTTTAGTTAGCCAAGACTAAAATGACTTCAGACGCTAGTATACTCCAGAGCAGAGTTCCCCAAACTTTTTCGCCGACGTAGACCCCTTGCAGGTTGTCATAGACCCCTAGGGGTCGATATAAACCACTTTGGGAATCACTGCTCCAGAGAAACGTTTTGGCGGCAACTTATTTTTTTTTTTATTCTAAATTACACAATAGAATTAAATATATCTTTTTTTTGGGCTGCACAAACTTTAGTAAATAACTTGAGATCGTTTTCTGTAACTTGTCTTGTCATATATCTTTATAACCAAAAAAAATGTTTTCAGATTCGGAAGTGTCAGCGACTCTAGGCGCTGCCGGCTTCCACTTGTGCTACTTCAAACAAGCCAGTGAACAGTTGCAGGTGAATATATATTCTTATTCTTTTACACACAATCGGTTAATTGTTGTTAAAAATAGACTGTAATTTTTTCTAGTTCATTTCTTGGGTACATTAGTAAATGGGCGTTTAGGCTACGCTATACCAAAGCATTATAGCTCATAGCAAGACAATATCGCGCACCATTAGGGATGAAACGATACCATCTAGGTATTGTTTCATCCCTAATGGTGCGCGCATCCTATACGATTACATTTTGTTCTTTCTGACCATCGAAGGTTTTAAAATGCCTCGCGCATTTCTTTTGCATTGATAATAATAATTTTAAAGAAAATGAGCGTGACGATATTTGATAACCTTCGACGGTCAGAAATAACGAAACGGAATCGTAAGCGATAGCTATAGCCATAGCAATTTTTAAGCAATTGACCCCCAGATATAATAAACTAGAGGCCGCCCGCGACTTAGTCTGCGTTAACTTAGTTTCTTGAAAATCCCTCTGGAACCTAACATTTTTTCGGTATAAAAGTAGCCTATGTGTTAATCTAGGGTGTCAGCTAACTCCATACCAAATTTTATTAAAATCCATCGTGCCGTTTAGACGTGAAGAAGTAACAAACATACACACTCACACACTCACAAACTTTCCCCTTTATAATATTAGTGTGATAACAGTGTCGATTCTGGCGTGATTCTCTAAACTTAAAACTAAATTTAACATCAGTCTCTCCTTTTCATTCTGTATAGAGAATGACAAGGATATACTGCTGTCAAATTTAAGTTTAGATTTAGAGAATCATGCTAGAATCGACACCAATATTAGTGTGATAAATATCAAGAGAATATTATTGTTAATCAAATATTGTGCAGTTAATGAACCATACCAACTTCATACAGTTTGTATTTATACTGTGTGACACAGCAATCAAAATGCAGGTGAACAATTAATGTATAATTTCACATTATGTAATGAAAGGTGACTTCATGAATCATCTCTGAAGTCATTTTTCAACTTGACGACTCTGTAAATGATAAAACAGGGAGAGAAAAAACAGCCCTTGCTGAGTTTCTTGTCGGTTCTTCTCAGTATAAGGTCTCCCGCCGTAGATTTACGAAGCGATGGCGTAACTTCTAGACATTCATATGTGCTTGTAACAGCCTAAACTGAATAAATGATTTTGATTATGATTATGATTGATTATTAATATTACCTTTATAGATCGTAGCAGAAATGGACACATCGTTCCGAGGGATGGAATCGGTGGGCACAGTAGGATACCAAGTCACCATTCCTAAAGCGGAACTCGTATTCAGAGGTAAGATATATAGCAAGTTTCGCAGTGGTCGGTCATTGGATGGGTGACCAAAAATCTTATCTATCTCGAGTTCCTCCGTGCTTGGGACGTTAAGGCGTTGGTCCCGGCTGCATTTGCAGTCGTTAGCACGCGCCAATCCGCACTGGGCCCGCGTGGTGGGTCATGGCCCAATCTCCCTATTCCATCCATAGGGAAGGCCAGTGCCTCAGCAGTGGGGACATTAATAGCCTGATGATGATGATTAATTAATTTAACACATTTGGTCAGAAGAAAATATAACTAGAAAAAATTCCACGCGGACCAGGCAGCAGACGGGACTCGAACCCGCACCCTTCGCAATCCGGGCGAATGCACTGACCAATTACGCTACCGCGGCCCTCACGAACCGCGTCGAAATTCTTCTAGCCTTCAGCTGCAAGGCAGCGCCATCTCTTCGCATTGTAGGTAACCCACAATGTCAAATGAATACTTTTACAAGTATTAAACATTTAAAAGAAGAAATTACATGCTTTAAAAATAATGAAAATTATAACTATAATTGCTACTTCTTCTACTTGCGAAGGGTGCGGGTTCGAGTCCCGTCTGCTGCCTGGTCCGCGTGGAATTTTTTCTAGTTATATTTTCTTTAGATTTAAACATATCAAGCAGTTACATGCTTTAAAAATAATGAAAATTATAACTTTTGGTCATTATTGAAAATAAATATCATGGACACTAGCAGTATAATTCAAAGTTTTCTATAATTAATCGATATCTATATTTTCTGTAAACGTTTCAGGTATGGTGGATTCCAATTGGAACATCGGTGCTGTTCTAGAGAAGAAACTACAACCATTGCCTTTCACGTTTGCCCTCTCCGGGATGGCTAATCAGGCCAAGCAACAATTCAAATTTGGCTGCGGGCTGATCATCGGTTAAAAAACACCAAATTATGTTCCAAACATTTACCCGCAGACACATTCTGTTAAAAAAAGATTGCATTTCATTTGAATGCGTGTGGGCTCAACGATATCGGACTCTAATGCGTGGCGTTAAGGGCTTTTGTACGCGCACAAGTGAATTGTTAGTGAAAAACAGTAAAACAAATGGTCGGGCATTAGCTATGTACGTTTAACGGCTCAAATATGGTTATTTGTTATCTCGTAGCAATATTATTGACTCGATTCGAATGTAATTTTGGTTATTGTAAGGAATTTTTGTTGCTGATACGGTAAGTAACTTTTTCAGTATATAAAACTGCCTTGTAAAAAGTTTGATAAATACAAGTGTAATTCAAATAATGCTTTACTTAAATATAAATTGAAAACATTAAACGCATAATATTGTTTTAAAGAGAATATTTATAATTTTGTGCATTAATGTTTAACATTTGACCCAGTTTAAATTAACTTTTGTATTGGAAATTTTCTCATAAGTGCTTTCTTTGCTGTATCATCACTTATTTTACTAATGTATGACTGAGATGTATGATGAAAGGCTCATTAATATAAAAAATACGAACAAACGCCATTATACTAATAATAAATATATAAGGTAATTACACAAAAAAAAACTTTGATAAAATATTAAATATTTTTTAAGATTTTTCAAATGGCAACTTTGTTTTTTTTTTTTATTAGCAAATATTTTTTAATGTATTTATAAGTCTAGCTCTGGACGGTACATATGTATTTTGTTAGTTTGAAATGAAAACGATTTCCTATTTTAGAAAATGAGACACTTGAAAATATGTCTTATGTGAATTGCTAAGAAATTAACTGTCGTATATGCACCTTATATATGAGCGCGTGACTCAATTTTCTTGACTTAATATACATTTCCAAAAATACATACTTCCAAATAAAGTTAATCCCGCAGGTCCCTAACTCTCTCATTATTATACTTACAAAAGGGCATTATAAAAGAGTTGCTCGCGATGAATTTACAGTTTTCAATACAATTTCATTGACCTGATATTGAGAACACTTAAGGCTAATTTCACAACTGGCTGATAAAGTTCCAGAAAGTCTATTCCAAACTTATATTGTCAGATAAACCGCAATTTGGGATTTCACAGGTCTTGAATAACATTTCTGTCAAATGGCAGCTCATTTTGGTAACCTTTATCTGGTAGACTTTGATATATCGGTAACAGATAACTATCTGAGACTTTATAAAAATTTACGGGGATTTTTTTAGCTTTTTTTTCTCACAATAAAATAGGAATGACATATAGCGGAATTTCATTGTCTACGGTAATTGTATAAATCAGTGGTTCTCAAACTTTTTAAATGACGGAACCCTTTTGGGAAGCAAAATACTTGATGGAACCCTACAATAAAACAATTATTTTTATAAGTGTATTCTATATTAATCAGCATAATAAAAGTACAATGTATCCGTTACTAATTATTATTTACTTCACCACTTGGTAAGGACAATAATAGAAAACATTAAAAAAGAAAAAATCTAACTAGTGGGAGGTATGAAACTGTTTTTTATTTTTCATCAATTGCTTGATATCAGGTTTGATGGAAGAAAGTTGGAGTCTCATATCAGCTTCGGCGTCCAGTCTATTGCGATATTTTGTTTTCGTGGCTGCGTAGGTAGAGAATCCTGTTTCGCACAAATATGTAGTTGGGAACGGGAGAAGAATATCCAGAGCCATTTGGCCAAGCATTGCATATTCATCTTGGATTCTGCACCAAAAATCATTAAGAGGCGTCGTTTTGAACAATGACTCCATACTTGTGTCTGATGACATTTCTAAAAGAGATTCATATATCTCATTTGACATGTTTTCAGGCTTTTCCAAGTTGGGTAAAAAAGGATTATGAATCCAGGAGTTCACTTTAATTTTTGTATTGTGTTCTTCGGGAAAATACTTTTCAAAAGATGCGCGCATCGAACTGAGATATTGGACCAATTCTTCAAACACATTATCTTCAAACATTTCTGAGTCGTTTTCGCTAACAAACTCAGTGAGTAACGTAAAACTTTCTATTTCTTTCTTACCAATGCAAATGATCCAAAAATCTAATTTTCTTTTAAAAGTAGTTATTTTATTATAGGCCTGAAACACTGTTGTCTGTTTACCTTGCAATGATAAATTTAATTCGTTAAGTTTTTGAAAGATATCCGCCATAAAAGACAATCGGAACAACCAAGTTTTATCATACAAACGGTCCTTCAAATTAAAAGAAGTATCTGCTGAAAGAAACATTTGTAACTCGGCTCTAAGTTCAAATAGCCTTGTTAAAGTTTTTCCCCGAGACAGCCATCGCACTTCTGTATGGAGCAGCAGTGTTTTATGTTTGCTGCCATAATCTTCACACAATAATGAGAACAATCGGGATTGTAGTGGTCGTGATTTGATAAAATTAATTATTTTTACCGCTTCATCCATAACTAATTTTAGATTAGACGGCATTTGCTTCATCGCAAGTGCTTGTCTATGCAGAATACAATGACTGGAACTACAATTAGGCGCTTTATTTTTCATTCGTGACACTGCTCCTGCTGTTTTACCTGTCATCGCCTTGGCCCCATCTGTACAAATGTCAATGCAATTGTTCCAACTGAGATTATGTTCTTCAAAAAATATATTTATTTTATTAAAAATTTCTTCCCCGGTAGTGTTTGTAAGCAGCGATGAACACATAAGCATGTCTTCTTCAAAAGAACTTTTATATGGATATCTCACAATAACCAGCAGGATAGCCAAACCAGCGACATCAGTCGACTCGTCCATTTGCAAAGCGAATCGTGTATTTTGTAGACGTGTAACTAGTTCTTGTTTGACGTAGCTTGCCAGATCATGGATTCGTCGTGAAACAGTATCGTTTGATAGCGGAACAGTAGAAAGATGCTTTGCAGATTTTTCATCAAGCATACATTTTGTTATGTCTAATACACATGGTTTTATTAATTTCTCAGCGATAGTGTGCGCTTCACCTGCTTGTGCAATGCGATAGCTAACTAAGTATGATGCCTCCGTGGCCTTTTCGTTGGTAGTTTGTGTTACATGCATCATATTTTTTTGACTTTCTAATAACTGATCTTTTTTGCGAACAAAAAATTCTTTATTCTTGTCTTTAGTCTCGGGGTGTACGGTTTCTAAATGTCGACGCAATTTGGCAGGTGCCATGGAACTATTAGGAAGCAGTTTACTACAGAGCATGCAGAGAGGTGAGCCGTTGGAATCAACAAATCCGAAACTGATATAAGATTCATCATACTTCCTTTTTTTCGTCTTTGAAACCGTCGAGCTTGACGTCGTGGCACTCGTGGCATCATCTTCTGGATCGGTGATTGCTAAATTCTCCGCGCGCATTGCTTTTGAACATTCAGCGTCATTAGAAGATGTTGTTGGAACACGTTTAACACCTTTAAGCCAACGTTCCATTCTTCTTTATTTATAATGTTACAAGTCAGGATAGTGGGGTTTAAATAATGCACAATCGTTACTGCGTATAAGAGACTAAATTTAGAACCTACAGGGAAGAAATGTATAAAACTGAGACAACAGAATACAGCAGGCAGTAAAACAATGAACACCAGTTTCTCGCTAGCGAGCTTGTAAGTAGGTAGTAACTTATCGCTCCGAACGCTAATCATCAACTGACGACGCCAACGCGCGATCGCCGCTTTTATACTTAGTCCTAGACTCGATCTCAAATATTCTCGAAAATACTCGAGTCGGCACCTTTGATAAACAAAAAGCAAAAATAAAAACAGAAATTTAAAAATAGCGTTGTAAACAATATCGACTTTATCCTTTGAAGTTAGAGACGAAAGTCGCTAGTTGACAACTATAGCGTCTAATTCAGAGGCGGCTTTTATCAAAGAGACTGAGCGCTTACAAGTATACTACCCGCTCGTTTTAAGTTTGCCGCTGGCGATAGGTATGAGTGTATGACGTTCGAAATTTTTTATTTAATTGTAACAATAAAAATTGTGTACGTTAGATATTTGGGTAAAACTATGACACATTATAAGTTTTGTTGTCACGTGGGGGAGGGTACGCGCATTCCACAGACCGGCAAACTTAGAGCGAACGCGTTGTACAAGTATAAAATTGTTGAGACCAAACTTATGAGATATTGTACCAGCTAATGTAACACAAGCTTATACAAATACAAATAAATAAATAAATAACATTCATAGCGTTTTGTCTCCGCGCGGCCGCGGAGTCCGCACAGCCGCGGAGCGACCAGAGAGAGGTGTTTTGATTTTTTTATTTCTAAATTCTTGCGGAACCCCGACAGAGGTATCACGGAACCCTAGGGTTCCGCGGAACACACTTAGAGTATAGCTGGTATAAATTAATGACGCGCGCAATACTTGTATTGTAAAATAAAATAAAATTCCAACTTGGAAAATTCATGTATAATTTGGGTGGTAAGTGAAATGAATGTATGTTTTGATTTTAAGCTTAGTTTTAAAATGTTTGTGTCAATGTTTGTTTTTGGATTAAAGAAAAATATTATATCGTCCTCAGGGTCAAACCAATTAACTGCTGATTTTCTTACCGTGAGCACTTAGCAAAGAATGATTCATGACTCTAATAAATAAATTTGTCAATCGGATTTCCAGTACCTTTTTTTTTGGAATACATGAAATAAACAACGAATGAGAAATAATATGGAATATGAAATACGCCAAAAAGTAGTTCCACGCAAACTGCGATCAAGGGGGCGGGGCGAAAAACTGCGATCAACACGCTAATCATGGGATTGGTTGGGATTTCCGTTTAACATTGTCTTACCCAATGAATGGATAGCCGAATTAATTTGCTGATATTTGATTTGTCAAAGTATTTTGTTTTGTCTGGGTGCGTGTCGCGTTAATATTGAAGTTTATTTGTATAAGATTGTAGCCATGTTTTAGCGGCCTTTGTTAGAGAGTTATGCTTCCATATCGTTTCTGATTCGTTGGAAATAATTTTTCAGATTACAGATAACTGGTTTTAGCTCCGAGGGTGCAGTTTTAAAACGCTAGACTAACACTATTATAAAATAATGGTTTTTATATCCGTTGTCGCTGCAAAAATCTTATGCAACTTGAAATTCAAAATCATAATGTATTTGTTATATAAAATTTCAATAAATTAATATTAATTAGTTAAATAAAACAAGTTT